AACCTTGAGAACTTGTTTTTCGAAAGGAAAGCTCAAATTTCGACCTAAAAACGTCCGCAACTGTTTCATTTTTTAAGCTCAGATTCAGCCAATTTACAGGGAAAAATAGCGAGATTGAAAGAAAGGAAAAACAAAATTTTGTGAAAATAAAAAAACGAGATAAGAAACGGGTTAGGAAAAGTTTAGAGGCGATTTTTTTTGGAAAAGGAAAGGGTCAATCGATCGACTACAATTCGACTACAGCCATCGCTTTTTGATCCAAGAAAGGAACGGGAAACGGTCATTTTTCCGTTTTCTTTGTCTCTTTTTGTCTCTTTTTATCCTCTTATTTCTGATCCCTTATCATTTTTCATTGTGTCTATTCCTGAACACAGCAACGAATGGTCAACTTTGACCGCTTTTACGAATGTTTGTTTAGGGAATGGACAAATTGTCCGAAAGAATTCGAAGTTTTCCCAAAACATTTGCAATAGTGAATTCTTAAACTACAATAATGTACTATTGTAGCTACAATATTGCACTATTGCAATCTACAGGAGTGACCAAAATTACCCACCAACAACGTCGTATTATGTAGTGAGCCCCTTTTCACTTTTTGCTTACCTGTTTTTATGGTTTTTGTGTATTTTTCTTGCACCCATGGCTCGATTATTAACTTTATCAACAAGATGGTGCGCCGGCTCAAGATATCAACAGGTGCGCCGGTTCACAAAACAAAAGAAAGTGCAAGAGTTTTGGTCAAAGACCTTCCCGGACTTCATTTCGTTTTCTGAGTGGCCACCATTCACCAAATCTTAACCCATTGGATTACTCAGTCTGGAGAGTTCTTGAAGCCAGGGCATTGCAAAACCCATAAAAATATCGAAAGTTTGAAGAAACTCATCAGAAGCCTTAGGATGCCCTCACGATGATGCCTAATTGCTCGCCCCGGTCAACGCGTTTCCCAAACATTTGCAGGCCTGTTCTGGATGTCGATGGAGGCAAATTTGAATTTAATTGTTAATTTGTTACTGTTATATGTTGAATAAAGATATTTAAGTTAACTTTTCGGAATGGAGTTGCGTATTGGTTAAAAACAGGCCTTTTTTTGTTGCGGTAATTCTTGGTCACCCTGTACATAACTATTTCACAAAATTCCTCAACATTTTCTGTAGTACTAACACAATTCAATCGAAGACATCAGGATTCGATGTGAAGCAAGCTTTTATTAGGCTTTCCATGAAGAGATCGTGACTATTGAGTTTTACAAAAGAGCCACTAGGGGTGAGGCTTGAGCTCGAACCCAGTTCGGAGCCAACATCAAAAACTCTACCTAATAGACATGAGAAAACTCCCACCCGAAGCTAATTTCACCTTCGTTTTCTCAGACCGTCTCTTTTGGCCGAGTGTTCCGAAATTTTATTTAGAAATAGAAATTGAGATTCTCTGCTTGTAGATCCATCGACAAGGGAGTTCCGTTTAGGAAACACAGACAAAACAAGTGCGGAAATAGAATTGAGGAACTCTAGGAAGTGCAACTCTAGAACGGTCCCTAGGACTTGGACTTGCCCGGCTGAACAACTGTAAGCAAAGCTACCTCAGGAACTGACTTACCCTGGCCTTGGAAATTTGAAGTTTAGAACAGCCTTAGAACTTGAGAATAAAAAATAGTTAAACGGGTAAACTTCAAAGAAATGTTAGAGGTCGATTTTTCTCTTTTTCTTTCTCGTTTTTTGCTTTGCTTGGTTCCCTCGAGGCCCAAGCCAAGGTAAACACATAAAAAGCACAGAAGGAATTCCCCCCACGAACTGGAGAGGTTAATGAACGAATTTCTTTTCAGAGATTTTCGTTTTCTTTCCAGATTTAGTGACGGAAAAGAAATAATTAAATGATGAATTTGACAGGTTAAAGCGAGTAAGCTTTGAATCAAAAGTCAGCTTTGAATCCAAACTAGCTTTGAATCAAAAGCCAGCTTTGAATCAAAAGCCAGCTTTGAAACAAAAGGAGAAGTCAGCTTTAGATCCAAAAGCTTTTAATCAAAAGCTCAGCTTTTGAATTAAAACAGGCTTTGAATCAAAAGCAGCTTTGAATCAAAAAAGCTTTTAATCAAAACTTAGCTTTGAATTAAAAACAGCTTTGAATCAAAACAGCTTTGAATCAAAACAGCTTTGAATCAAAACTCAGTTTTGAATCAAAGAAGTCAGCTTCAAATCAAAACTTCAAGAAAAGAACACTTTTACAAAACTTTTACAAGGCTAATTATTTTTAACTCATAATGAAATACGAGATAACCCTTCGATAAGTAAAAACAAAGAGTTCTGCTTTAAAATGGCAAATTCACAGGTCAAATTTACAGCTTTTTGCTGTAAAAATTTGGATTACTTACCCAAGAAAGCTTGGAAAATACAGAAGCAAATCATTCTATATGTTAAAATTATAAAAATATTATTAACTATAATCTCCATAAATTTAAAATAAAGTTAAAAATCAATAGATTCACTCAAATTTAGCAAAAGCTACAGATAGAAATTGTTAAATTTCAAAAGAACAGTCTAAAGGCTTGCACTAAAGCCAAAACCATTGCTGAACATTAGGAAAAATAGAAATTCTTGACGCAATGATGGGCGGGAATTCGTGTGGAAAAGGATGAGGAGTAAAAGGAAAAGGAGTAGTGAGTGAAAAAGGGAAAAGGAAGGGGAAAGGGGGAAGGAGTACGAGAAATAGAGTGCCGAAGAAAGGAGGGGACAGTGGAATTGGCCGGGTCTACACTGAGGAAAGGGGATTCTTGTGAACCTCCGCGGAGAGGGGACCCCAACCCTAGAGGTTCGACCTCCGCCCTTCCCCCGTCCAATGTTGTTTTAACTAGAGAAAGGCAAGCCATTGTCGTGGCTTTTTAGAGCGAGATCAAACCCATCTTATAGAATCAGCCACGCTATGTTCGAATTTGCTTTTAGTCTTTGCTCTCGAAGCCCATAACGCAAGATATCTGGCTTACAAATTTTGTTTGCATTTTTGATCCACGCCATTAGAGGCCATTGGAGGCCACGCCATTGGAGACCAGGCCATCAAAATGTGGCTACATGGCCTAGGGAATAGTGCTCTCGGTATGAGTTTTTTTGCTTTGCTTTGATTCCCCTTACGTCAAACTTTTTACCTTTTCTTTTTATATTAATAAAATCTTTTTGATTGGTCAAACCAAAAGAAATTGGCCATGAAGAGGATTGAGCCAGGGTGCTTTTGACTCTAGAGCTTTGGCGATGCACCACGTCACTAGTTGTCTCCGTTGTGAAAAATGAACTCAAGTACGGAAGCCTAAAACTTGTAACTCAGAGATTTCGCGTTACAGGCCTCGAGGGCAAAAACTGAAAACGGATTCGGAATCAGCGTGATCGATTCTATAAGTTGGACTCGTTTTAAAAGGTCACGGGCACCTGGTAATGTTTCCTAGTAAGAGAATCCACTCTCCTCCCCCTTCAGCCACCCTTCCCCCTCTGCTTCCCCTGCAACCCCTTCACCACCTCTTTCTCATGAAAAGAACCCTTTGCCCTTTTCCATTTCGAAGTGGACATGAGAGATTGGGAAAATGAAGAGAAATTTTGGATTTTAGGAGGATGGGACTCTAGGAGAGTGCACTGGGATGTATGTGGAATCGTCCAGCGGAATCAATCGACCTTCTTTCTATTCCTTTTCCCATCCTTTACATCTCCAAACTATCAACTGGGGATGCGAATCTAGCATTTTGCTGAAATTAAGGAAAGTTTCGGAGTTTTTTTGCAATAGCTATAGGTTTTAGCTTCAGGAATCCAAAGAAGCAATAATCTAGTCGGCTGGATTGAACCCTTTACCTCTCGACACTTAGCCAGCAGGCCATCGCGGTTTAAATACCAATACCACACGAACACAACGTATTGTACTTTTTAGAGACTTTTGTTGCTAAAGGCTTAAATAGTGAAGAGAAATAAATTTGCAGGAAATCAACTAACTGAGCAAAACTTCAAAATCAAACAACATTGAATAAAAAGCAGAAGCAAAAATCAATGTTTTCTTGTGTCGGATTCGCTGCGTGGATGGAGGATCAGAATGGATAAAATGAAGGGAAAAAGGATACAATGAAATGAGGGGAAAGGGAAAGGGGGATGGGATATCGAAAGGAAAAAGGAGGGCACATCTCTCTAGGGGAAGAGATGGGGACACTCTGCAAAAGGGTCATAGGATGAGAGGGTGGATTGGAAAGAGCATCAGAAAAGAAAAACCACTCTTCCTCCAAAATTTGATATCTTTTGGATGAGATGAGATGGAATATTGAAAATAAAACCTATCCACAGCTTTAAAAGCTGTCTGTCGAAGTTTTGAAATTAACAAAAGCACTTGTCGACCTTACGCTTGCTAATTTGGGCATCTAGCTTATCTAGCTTATCTGGCTTCTGGCTTATCTAGCATCTAGCTTATCTACTATCTAGCTTATTTAGCTTATCTAACATCTGGCTTATCTGGGCACCTGGCTTATCCAGCTTGAATTTTGGTGCCACTGACTTGATAAGGCTCCTTTGTCTGAAGCGATACTTTAACTGTAACTGCTACTTGCTGTAACTTTGTAGCTTTAGCTCTCAATCTAGTTGCAACCTTAACCCAGACGTAGGCCACTCGAGAAATTCAATACACCGGTGTTTACTAGAGCACACAATGGCTTATTTCCATATCTTATTGCTGTTGGGCCGCATGAACGCCACATATAGTCCTAGACAATACTTTGTACTGTTATTGGTACTATCGATTCTGGACTAGAGCTTCTTTTTATCTTTTATCTACCCGTTTCAAAACGATCCATATAAGATTCGAATAATTTATTCAAAAACAATAATCAAAATACAAATCGAATAATACTGGAATGGGTCTTTTTTGAATGAGAATTTGAACTTGAGAACTCAATCGATCACAGATAGAGCGGATCGTCGTGGCGGCGATTTTCACTCCGGATTTTCCCCTCGCCGAACTCTTTCACCTCTTCTCGGCTGTCATTATCTAAAATGGAAAATGAATGAAATGGTGGCAAGGATAGCTCAGGCTCAGGCTCAATCATATCACACTTATTCAATCTTATGATAAGCAAAGTCAACTCTGACTTTTGTGTCAGTTGAAAGTTCTCTATGCAACTCTATGAAAATTTAACAATAAGATTGTCTCTAGACAAATTTATGGTCTCAAGAGCTAACTTTTCGTTTACCTGTCAGTGCTATAATATCGACTCTTCCCACTAATCGATCCCTCCCGATTTTCCTGTCCTCCCACACCTCGACCGCGTACTTTTTGCCGTGCAGACTCTCCTGGAAATTGGGTTTATCTTAAAAAGCTCATTTATTCAATGCTAAATTTGAAATACGGAGTGCGGCAGGATTATTAGAACCGATTATTGGAACCTCAAAGCATCAATGTTAGTTCCAACAACTATTTCGACATACAGTCAACTCTCTTTATAACGGAATGGAAAGGACCAAGAAATTCTTCCCTTATATAGAGCTTTCCGTTATATAGACTGCCGTTTTATATAGCTTAGCGTCGGCCGGGACAAAATTCCATTCCGTTATATCGAGTTTCGTTATAAAGAGAGTCGACTGTACTTCTTCCGTGAGCCAAAAATCACTTTGGAAACAGGATTTGGTGTTTGATGCAGGATGATGCTTATGCTCACAAGGCTCGAGTGGTTCAGGACAGCATTTGTCCCGATTTGGCCACCTCAATCCGATGATAATCCGATAGATTTCAGTGTTTAGAAGGTGCTTGAAGCAAAAACATGCTCAAAGCCGCATTCCAGCATTGATTTGCTTAAGAAATCTCTTCAAAAAGCATGTGATAGACTCGATCTCGCTACCATTTGGCTACGATGGATGTATTTCCCAAATCTCAGCTACATTTCTGCTCATCTTTTTTAAAGCAAGTAGTTTTTCTTGTTTAATATATCTTTAAAAATCAATTGTTAGTTTTTGAGTTGATTTCTTTCGCTTTTTATCCTTAAAAAATTGGTTTCAAAAACTCTGCCACATGCTGTATATCTCTAGACAAAACCGACTTGAAAAATAGGAATTGTTCATCCCATTTGGGTGAGGTCGATTCGCGCATCGTTCGCGTTCTCAGCTGACTTTTCCCATCATCGAGCATACAATAGAAATCGCCTAAAGTGATGAGTTGATTAAAAGGTTTTTGAATAGCTGTTACGTCCGATCTAGACTGATTCTAGATCGAACGTCAGATCTAGAAATCCGTCCAATTGGACGTCCGATCTAGACTCAAGTGAGGTCAAACGTCCGATCTAGAATCAAGCCGATCACTCTAAATCAGACTTCCGATCCAGACTTAGATTTAGAGTGATCGGCTTGATTCCAGATAGGACGGCAGACCTCACTTCACTCCCAGATCAGACGTTTTACCTTACTTTTACTCCAGATCGGACGTCCGATCTAGAATCAGTCTAGATCGGACGTAAACATATCTACAAACAATATTTAGTCTGAAATCTTGAAATCTGTAAGCTGTACTTGTACAGTTCAAAGCTACTAGATATTTTCTGCGTTTCTATTTTTTGGAACCTATCTTTTATGTACTTAGATTATGTCTTTTATGTCTACAGTATGGAATAAGGCCCTACTCTGACGGCAACGGGATACGGTGAAGCTTATTGGTAGAGTGTTATCGTGGTGACGAGAGTAAGCGGTAGTAAGAGGTCGTGGGCTCGAGTCCCGGCGCCGATCGGTTTGTCTTGTTTTCTCGATGCTTTGTATTCCCAGCCTCAACCCATAAAAGGACCAGCCAACTCCAATTCTATCATAATTTCAAGGATTTCAAGATATGAAAGAATTGAACAAGAACAAGGAAAAGAAGAACATTGTCACCTTTAACTCGAACTGGGCAAAGCTATGACTATCATTGATTAAAAATGTGATGTAGTATGCTACTTGGACAAGGGAGTAGCTATCGTTAGCTGGTAAACGATGTTTATCGATTGTTTTAGAGGTCAGAATCGTTTACCTGAAGTCCCTGGAAGACTCGCATCAACGATATGCACCCTCGTGACATGACTCGCCGATTGCCAGCACCAACCGACTGACGGCGCTTGTCGCTTCAACTCTTTCATGTGCAATTTTTCAGAGGAGTAGGCCTGGAAATGAGTTTTGTAAAAAAGGTTTTTGATTTCTTCTGAAATAAGCTAAAACAAAACTCAATCATTTATGCATTACTTTATTTGATATAAGCTCACCCTTAACATATAAGTCGCTTGTTCTCGTGGAGCGTAGGTGGTGGGTAAAATGATGTATCGGCCAGGCCGCACATCGATTAAATGGAGGAACACCGATCGAGCATTCGCATAGTCGGACGCTTCCACTGGTTCGGTTGGCTGAATGGCTACACTTTGAAGGATCGTTTGATATTGAGGACATCTTTTCGTGGCTCTTAAGGCTTAAGGCTACACTGTGTCATCTTTCGTGGCCCTTAGGGCTTAAGGCTACACTGTGCCATCTTTTCTTGACTCTTAAAGGCTTAAGGCTACACTTTGTGTCATCTTTTCGTGGCTCTTAAGGCTTACGGCTAGACTTTGTGTCATCTTTTCGTGACTCTTTCCTATCACTTGTAACTAGAGTGTGCTCTTTTCAAATTAAAGCCCTTTCTAGCTACAGTACTACAGTGATTTACCGTCAAACTTGCCTGATGCACCCTTGTGACTCGATTCCTTTCGACTCTCATAATATGCATTCCAATACAAACAAATGGTTCCTTCTCTTTTTCCCTTCACCAACTTCTCGTTGCGTTAACGCGAACATCACCTCGTTTTTCTCATCATTCACATCAAAGACGTACTGGAATCGATTTTTAAAGTCAAAAACGGCTTTATTTTTTTATCTTTTAGCTAAATTTCACACAAAAAATATGCTAAAATGGTTGAACTCAAAAATTCAACATTTCTGTAGAAGATTTTGCTCGAAAAACTCTTTAATAAACAGGTGGGCACTACAAACTACAAACGTAAACTATAAAAGCTTCTAAATTGCTTCAAATCGAGCTTGAAACGGACCGTGCTCGTGCGTAGTCGAAGCGATTGAGTCAGGCTACAAACCACTATAACTTTCTTTAGAATTACTATTTCTCGGTGCACTTTAGTTCATTCGAAAGCTCTTGAGATTCTCTATTTTTCAAGCTATAGATCGTGTCAATACGACAATTCTGAAGCAAGTTAGAAGCGTTTGTAGTGTGACAGTTCGTAATTTTTGTATTTAAAAGGAAACTGTTTTTGATCTATAGTGATTGTTTTGATCTCCGAGTGATTGCTTACAATTCGATGTGATGGTTAAAATCACGCATACCTGTGGATTCGAGCAAAAGAAGCGGGAAAATTGAGACATCCCCGGCGAGATCACCGGGTGCACCACTACGAGCACCATTCGACGACCAATGGCCGAAGAAAATCTTCTCATCGTAACTGAAAGGGGGAAAGGTTTACAGTAATTTCTGAATTCTCCCAAAGCTACTTCTGGGCTAGGTCAGGTCAGAAGCCAAGTAGAAATGCTTGGCCAGAAGCTAAGCAGGAATCCCTTGTCTGAGCTAGACATGGGAAAATTCAAGCCGAACCTAATTCCACCTTTGTTTTCTCGGCCGTTTCCTGGCCGATTGTTTTGAAATTTTGTTTATAAAGAGAAATTGGAATCCTCTGCTTTGGGGTGGAATTTTCCCATGTCTAGTCTCCACCCGCTGGCATCCAAGGCTGCATAGTTATACCGAGCCCTTAAAAACATTTAAAGCACAAAATTTGGAGTTTGGTGTGGTCTGGTGTGATCTAGGCTGGTTTACAGACCTTAGGGTTGGTTGATAGTTGAATTTGGGCAGTCTCAACACTTGTAATCTTTTTGCAAACCCACAAACCTCTTGGCTAAAGAAAACACGGATGTGTTGAACAATTGACACACGGAAATGTCGGTGAAATATTGCGTGAAAGACTCCCACGGCATCCAGAGAATTCTCCATCCTCATCAACGGTGATGCCAAGGGATTTCTTTGTGGAATCCGTCACCTGGAAAATAAGATAAAGTAAGAGTTGGGCTTTAGATTTTGAAAAACATTTCATTTATAGCTGAAGACTTTCAAATACAGAATACGGTACAAGTTAAAAGTATGCTTAGTACTGGTTGTTGGTTTTGTTTTGTTGGCTTACTATTGAAGGAGTGGTTCGAATTGGAACCGTTTTTCACTAGTGACTCGCCTCTTCCCCTGGATTTTTCCTGATTTGAGTTGGAATTGGATTTATTACCCAATTATTCTATCGATCTGGAGCGCACACTAGCTGAAACACTTAAAAAATTGTAGAAAGGACGATTTTAAGAAAGCGAAAACCTCTAATCGAACCACGATTAGAGGTTTTCGCTCACCAAAATTGCATAAATCTAAAATCCAAAAGCTGCAATGAACTATGTGCGCCCCAGAACTTCCAAAAAATTTCTTAGAATTTCCAGTTCTCAAAAATTCCGCGCCTTTCCGGCCCGAGGTTTTCGGGGTCTAGCAATCCCGATTGGAGCTACTCATTTTATTGAGGCTACCAATTAGAACTCGGGATTTAATTGGTCTAAAGTTTTAGATGGATTCGGAGACTTATTAGCCTATCTTGGAGCCTATGCTTGACTTAAAGCCAGCATTCCTTTACAAATGCTTGCCTCAACTACAGTCTTGATCAGTTTTTACCTGTTCCCATTCGGGACTCCCGTCACTCCACGGTCCATTCCATTCCTTTTCTCCCCACGGATTCTGCAAACGGATCATCCGCTGTTTTTCTCCATGCTGCCCAAGAGGAATGAGCTGTAAACTTGGGCTTTGATTCGGTAGTTTCGATTTTCTTGTACCTGATCGATTTCTCTTTTGCATTCAGCTCAATAAAGCGTACATCAGTGACCGCATAGGCGTGTCCCTTCACTAAGCCGCAGTCAAGCGTCTCCTCGATCTCCTCTTTCGTTCTCGCCTAAAGACGATCTACAATAGATTTAGATGCTAGATGCTAGAGCTAGATGGATAACTCACAGCAATTGCGGCAATGACGAGCGCCTCATTCTCGTAGGCCATACCAGTCCCGGAATAGAAGATTCGACTGATTGGCTGGGTCATTTTTCAGGAATTTTGCTCACTAAAAACGGGTATTTAGTTGTTAGTTGAAAGCTTACTCTAATAATTACTATAATATTTTCATTTTGCATAAAAATATTGGATTGGTGAATTGAAAACTGCGGGCTATTGTCATATGTGACAGTTTTCACACTTTCTTCAAAAGAAACCCATTTTGGTGTCAATGGAAAAGTTGTAAGAGAATCAAAAATCAAGCTTATATCCAAATTATATTACAATTACAAATTATAACCAACCCAATAGATAAATACAAAGACAGTTTAGCTCTTAAAAATCGAAGCCTCACTAAAATGGTTAGTGTCAAGTTTTTAAGAGACTAGTTGAAGGCTAGTTTCAATGGAACAAGGATAAGGACTAGTCTAAGGATCTAATTTTGACAATTAATAAACAATTTAAGAGACAATCAATGAAACAATTAATCTAAGGATCTAATTTTGTAGAAATTTTACAAAACTCACTAGAAATCGTTTCCGCCACTCCACCCGAGACATCTTGAAGTGCATCGGAGAGATGTCCGCCAACAAGATTCTCATAACAACCGTACAATCTAGATTAGAGTTAAGTTTATGCCGGGTATTTTGAAAGATAGACAAAATTTCAAAGGCGCTGATTTTTTGGAGCTAATATCTTTCTCTAGTTTCTCTTTAATAATACCCGACAAAAGCCAAGTTTACACGGTGATCGCGAATTATGGCGATACCTTTTTTGGAAAAGTTTCTGGCAAACGTCTGACTTATTGTGCCAAGTGTTATATAGAAAAATAAAGCCCTTAATCTTGGTTGCATTTATCTCTTAAAAGTTTCCCGGTTGGAATTATACAACTCATTTTACAAGCTCTCGAATGAACTCAAGTCGGTCTCTCTCCGGCTCTCTCCGATCTACCATTTTCGAACGCATAAAAGGAATGCATAAAAGCTCCATATAGCTCGTTGTTTTTATAATTAAAAAGGTCTATTATTGCTCAACAAAATGGCTTTTAAGAGATTCCAAAAAGCTTTTGTTTTTTGTAGATTTTATGAGCTAATAAATGAAACCAGTCAGAATGACAAGGAGTCCGATTCGTCGTTTGACTCGTTCCTTACGCAAAAACTTAGCATAACAAAAGTTAGAGCACATTTAATTACATAAGTAGCCAATTTTCTGTAGTGATCTCGTCAGTCAAGTTTAATTTAACTCACTTTGCAAAGCTTTCTCCAAGAGTGCAGACCAGAACTCGTTCGGCGTCTTTGAGCGAGCGAAAAGAAGCTTTCCGTCTCTGGAAAATGGCGTGGTTTTGATCAAAATTTAAACAAATCAAAAATAGACAAAGAGCTATAAGTAAAAGCGGGTAATATTATTAAATGAAGCTGAAACATCGTTTTTTGATTGCTGATTACCTTGTCGGCAACAAATCATCCACCACCACTTCCATCCAATTGCCAAAGCGCCAGAAACGAAATCGAAACAATCCCGAATAGGTATTGCCCGGGCCCCACTTCTTGTTTATTCGAATTCGGGATCACCTGAAAAGATTTTCGATTCTCAAGGACTTTTGAAAGATCTACCTTATCCAAGAGAGCGGTGTTGTGAGTGAGAGCTGAACATGCGCTCACAAACCAGCAATTCCCGAGGATACCCTGGAAAAACAGGATAGAATAAGGGTTTAACTAAATATTTATCTATCTATCTATTTGAAACTCTTAAAATTCTAAATGAAGACGGTAACTTCTATTCTGATAAAGTGCCGGTTTGTATAAGGTGCGTGAAAAGCTCTCTCCCCATCTAAAGACCACTTTTACAATATTTTCCAAAGTTTTCAAGACTTCAAACCTAAAAAATTAGATTTTTCAAAGATTTTTCGCTAGAAAATCATTGAAAATCTTTATTTTATTCATATAGAAGATTTTATAGAACTTTTATGATAACGTTTGAGGTCGAAGAGGAAAGCTTTCCGAAATAGCTTTCCTACCATTGTAGCAAATTCGAATTTGGTTTTTTAATAGTTTCAAACATTTTTAATAGCTGTTTAGCTATAAAAACAGTTTTTCTATAATTTATTACGGTTTTGAATTGAAAAGTTGAGCATTCTCGTCTCGATTTAAGGTCTCTCTTCAGATCTTGTGCTGTGATCTCATTTCTAATTTTGATCTCCTCTTTTCAAAAAAATAAGCCTAAGCCTAAGCCTAAGCCGATGAAATCTGACCAGCCAAATGTGAAGAATGCTAAACAGCTCCTTAGGATAATGTTTTAGCTAAATAGACATTCAAAAAAAGTGTTTAGAAAAGCTATTTTTAACCTTTTACTTCAAATCTTGTCCTAAAAAAGTTCTATAAAATCTTCTATATGAATAAAATCGAAAGTATAAAAGAAGTTTCTAGCGTAAAAATCTTTGAAAAATCTAATTTTGGAGGTTTTGAGTCTTAGAAACTTTGGAAAACATCGTAAAAAGTGATCTTTTAGGATCGGACAAGAGCTTTTCCCTTGCCCTGTACACTTGTAGAATAGGTTTGAATAATGTACACTCAGTTCTGGCTCACTAAAGCCTCATGTGGGACCGAAAAATAATCAGAATTAAGTGCACCGAAAAGTGTGCGTTTCGATTTTTGTGAGCACAAATTTCAAAGTTACCTGTGTGACATCATTCGGCGAGGCTCCTTCGACGAAAAGATGCGGATCGGTGACGATTTCCTGAAAGTCAAAAGATCACTATTTTTCATTTTTCTAGAACACTGAACACTCAGATTCATTTACGCAAATGCTGAAAATTTCTCGATATTTCTACTACATTTACATCATTCTAGAAGTTTCTGAGCTTTGCTTTCAAAAGTACAAGTACAAGTTTCTGTACAACTTTCTGTACAACTTTCTGTACAAGGTTCTGTACAACTTTCTGTACAAGTTACTGTACAAGTACACTGCTCCACATCTTCCTAGCTCCATCTATCAATCTCTCAAAACTAAGCTTTTTTAAAGGTTTTTTCAAAACTTCCGAAATAGAAAAGGTGTTATATTTCAATACGAAAATTATCATAAACACCGATTTTGTATAGCAAAGCTTACAAAGACAAAAAAAATCCTTTTGGTCACATAATTATAGCTTTAAAAAAAAACTATTGTGATTTCCAGGAACTAGACAAAATTTGCGACAAAAAACTAATTGGGAGTAAGGGAATCATCGCGGAATCCGATCAGAAAGTGATCGATGAGAAAAAACTTCCAAAAAACAAGTCATTTTACAGAAAACAAGCCAAAATCCGACTTGCAACTTTCAGATTCAAATCCTGACTCAATCGTTCGTTTCATTCCCTTACCCTAATTAGTTTCTTGTCACAAATTTTGTCAGTTCCCTGAAATCACAATGGTTTTTATGGATCTTCTAACCCAGAAAGTTATGTATCAAAACATGATTCCCGTACTCCCAATTAGTTTTTTTGTCACAAATTTTGTCTAGTTCCTGAAATCACAATAGTTTTTTTAAAGCTATAATTATGTGACCAAAAGGATTTTTGTCTTTATAAACTTTGCTATACAAAATCGGTGTTTATGATAATTTTCGTTATGAAATATAACACCTTTTCTATTTCCGGAAGTTTTGATGAAAACCTTTTAAAAAGCTTAGTTTTTGAGAGATTCATAGGTGGAGCTAGAATGATGTGGAGCCGTGTACCTGTACAGAAACCTGTACAGAAAGTTGTACAGAACTTGCACAGAAAGTTGTATTTGTACTTGTACTTTTGAAAGAAAGCTCAGAAACTTCAGAATGATACAAATCTAATGAGAAATATCGAGAAATTTTCAGTACAAGTGTCTGAGCTTTACTTTAAAAAAGTCAAAAGTCAACAGTACATTCCCAAAATTCATCATAACGGTAAAGAAAAACAAAGAAAAGCAAAGCAAAAAGCAAGTCAACAAAGCAAAACTCATCAATCAGTGGAAAAAGTTAAGAAGAATAGGTACTTAGGAAAGCCGATATTGACCCTAACAATGGATTCAGCTATGATTCAACCACAGTTAGAGTTCGATCAACCGCAGTTTCTCCTCAAACTGACCTAGTTCCCAATGTTTCGAAAAAGTTTCATTTAAACAGTGATTCCATGACATCTTTGTTTCAAAAATCTCTCAAATTACAGCAAAAATTTGTCTTAACTTTTATTTTTCACTCTCTCACGCGTACTTTTCGATTCATCTCAAATTCCCGGAGAAAAGTGACGTTTTCTAGGTTCCATGCCAGTAAATTGGATTAAATTTTGAAGGTTTGAAGGTCACCACAAAGATCCTTTCAGAAAAAAACAAGAAAATAAAAGTTTTTCTATCAATTTCTATCAACAACGAGTCTTTTGATTTCAAATTTCGCTGAGAAACGAGTTTTTTGATGGGGATCTTTGTGGTTTTTCAGAAAATTCAATCAGGAACTCGGTTACACTAATTTGTGCGATTCAGAAAGGTGATTTTGAAGCGATTGTGTTTGCAGTGTTTTTCATTTACGGATGATAAATCTCAAAAAATTTAAACCTTTCTTTGTTGACAACACTCAACTTAATCAAAACTCTAAGCAACTTGACAAGTCAGCCAAATCTTTGCCAGAGAAAGGACCCCAACTCCAGCATACAGCCATGATCCTGCACCCTCTCATTACTACTTCCGGGCTATGAGCAATGATTTAGCGAACAAACACTTTGATTCCAAAGTCCTTGCAAGTCCTTGACAAGTCAGCCAATCTTTGCCAGAGAAAAGATCCAAAAGAGAGAAATCTTCAACATGATAATGTTTCGCATGTTTCAAAGATCACTCGTTCTACAATAAACTCACTTGGATGGGAGGTGATGGTCCATCCAGCATACAGCGCTGATTCTGGGCCTTCTGATTTCACTGATTCCGAATGATGAGCAATGATTTAGCGAACAAACACTTGCTTCCGAAGAAGAGGTCAAAAAATGGCTAACAGATTGGTTTGCGTCAAAACCGAAGATTTTCTACGAGAGATTCTAGTTCTGCCAATAAAATGGGCACAAATCATACAAAATAATGGCAAATATCTCGCATGATTGAAGTTGTTAATTGAAGGGAAATTTTGTTTTAAAAACGTGATAAGTCATATCCATCAATCCAATATATACAGTAAATACTGTATTAGTACCCCGTACAGTCGCGTAGTCGCAAACGCTTTTTTAGTATTTCATTTTTTTTCAAAGCGCCCGTACTTTCAAAAAATGGGTCTTTGGTATCAAAAAATAGCTGAAATTCAGGGCTATTTTTTGATACCTAAGCGTAGCATAAGCCAGTGTCGTAGCATAAACCAGTGTCGAGAAAAACTCGTTCAAAGCTAGACTACGCAACAATTCCGCACCGTCATTATGGGGGTGGGGTACTACTACAATATTTACGGTAGGTATTTATATCCAGAATTTTGTCTCTCTAACAGTTCGTTGCATAATGTTTCTATTTTAAATTCTAAAGCTTTAGATCTTAACTTGAACGTGGGGGTTTACTTTTTGCCATAGAATTTCGTTTATTTAAACTTTAAACCTTCCTTCATCACAGCGATGACGTCATCACAAAAAAAAACAAGGCATTTTTGGGGGTGGAATACCTTTTGGAGCCGTGAAAAAGAAGAGGATTTGTCCCAAAATCGTTGATGGATTGATAGAAGAAAAAGAGAAAAGAAAGGAAATAATCGCCGGAAATTTGTCACCAGAACACATAAAGCAAAAAAAGGAATTGAGTAAAAAACAAAAGAAAAGGATTTATTGGGGGCGGATGGATGGATTGTGTGGATGATTGATATGGATTGAAATGGAAAGAATGATTGTGACGTTGTAGCGATAGAAACTCTAACAATAAATCACTTATAGATGATAGCTTTTGTTGAATTGTATATGAGTCAGTTTTGAAAAGCTCACGAGTTTCAGAAACGGGCTGAAATTTTACAATCAGGTGCTTGCGAAATTTGACCGCTCTCTAGTAAGGTAATCGATCTAACTTAACCAGTTTTAGCTACTTTGTCGTAATTCCCAGCTATACCAAAGAGTTCAGAACCGGCAAGAACAAGAGTCCGGTAGTTGCAAGAACAAGAGTCTAGTATCGCAAGAACAAGAGTCCAGTGTTGCAAGAACAAGTCCAGTGTTGCAAGAACAAGAGTCCGGTGTTGCAAGAACAAGAGTCTAGTGTCGCAAGAACAAGAGTCCAGTGTTGCAAGAACAAGTCCAGTGTTGCAAAGAACAAGAGTCCAGTGTTGCAAGAACAAGAGTCTAGTGTCGCAAGAACAAGAGTCCAGTGTTGCAAGAACAAGAGTCCGGTGTTGCAAGAACAAGAGTCCAGTGTTGCAAGAACAAGTCCAGTGTTGCAAGAACAAGAGTCCGGTCTTGCAAGAACAAGAGTCTAGTGTTGCAAGGACAAGAGTCCAGTGTTGGAACAAGAGTCCAGTGTTGCAAGAACTTCTTACAATTTCAAGACTTTAAGACTTTAAGAATTCCTAGAATTGTAAGAAAGCAAACCAATCAAATCAAATTAGTCTGAGGTAAAAGTCAACAGGAACAAGCTTCTTCACTTTGAAAAGCTAAACTTTTGATTTCAACTTGTTTCAACAACTTTAACTCTCAACCTTGATCTCGAAGACTGATTCTCGTAGACTATTTCTAGTTCTCGTTCCATTTCTTGACTCAAACCCGTGAACTTCCCAAACTCAGCCAATAATCCATCCCACATTGCACTTCCTCAATCCCCAATTCACCCCATAAACGGGCTTTCCCACACAACCTCGAAATCTTTGCCCCGTTTATTTGCTATTTTTCCATCTCACCCTCTTTTCCCCCAAATACAGGCAAAGATTTCGTGTCACTTCGAACAAAAAGAAAAGAAAAGAAAAGAAAAGACACGAACGATCAAGGCGAAAACCACAAATTTCCCGTGTCTTTTCCCCAACGCCGATTATCGATTTTTGCATTAGAAAGTCTTTAAAAGCAAAAGCTTAAGATTTGCAAAGGTCCGGGAAACGAAAAATTTGATGAAAAAGTGATTTTTTAGGGGAAAACGATGAGAATTCGACGAATTTCCTCGGTTTTCAAGCTTTCACATCCGTTTCAACGAATTTCAAAGATCATCAAAGCTTTTGTACTTTAAACTTTCACCAACGCATCCTCTGGTGAACAAAATTTTCATAAACAACATTGTTTTGGGTAATTGAATGGAAATTGAATGGAAATTGAATGGGAATTGAATGGAAATTTAAGGCAATTGTGTCAGGTTTAGGCTTAGGCTTAGGCTTAGGCTTAGCCTTCAGACACGCTCCAGGGCACCAATCAGTGAGCATTGAGTGGCCCAAAAGGTGTAAAAAGTTACAAAGTTTGATATTCAGTAGATATTCAGTTTAAAAGGCTGAATTTTTGTGCTTAAATTTTCGACTCACCGCTGGCCTTTTTCCAGACGATATCCGATGATCGTCCCTGTTCGAGGAAAAGCGACGATTCGTCGGCGGGAACTCAGTGTCCACGAAGAGTTGCCCGCTTTTCTCACATTGTTTTCGAATTGTTGAGTATCTGGAATAAAGAGATATAAGGCTAGCTGGATTATCTACTATATAAAGGATCTAAGAATTATGTCTGTCTGTCTATCCGTCTATCCGTCTATCTGCCTGTCTGTCTGTCTGTCTGTCTATCTGTATGTCTATCTGTCTGTCTGTCTGTCTGTCTATCTGTCTGTCTATCTGTCTGTCTGTCTGTCTGTCTGTCTGTCTGTCTGTCTGTCTGTCTGTGCGCACTACTCCAATTGGCTGTTTCAAATGACTGATAGCTAGTTTCCGCTTAGAATTTCATGTAGTTGTGCAACTTGTTTTTAAATTTTTAAAAAACCAAAAGTGCTGACGCGAGCTGGAGTCGAACCCGAGTCGTGTGCGCTAGAGACAAGTGCGTTCGCACTGCGCCATCTACTAAAAGACCATGACCGAATGGCTAACGCGCGCGTCTTTCTAACGAACGGAGGAGAGGAGTCGCGGGTTCGCCTGCTCTCGCCGCCAATTCTTTTGCTTTCTGCTCCAAAATTTCTTTGCTGCAAAACAGCAGTGAGGCTTCGGGTTTCATATAAATTCTTTCATATAAATAAATTCTCTGAGATTTTTTCGTAACATGTGGCTCTTATCAGCTTTGAGAGTAAGCTAAAAAAAAATTTGATGACTTCTGGTCAGTGGCCAGGAAAGATAAGCGAATTTGAGGTAAAAAAAGAAGTAAAAGTATAGGCTGAATTAAGAAAAATGGTGTACTTAAAGCGTAAACTAAAATAAACTAAAAATAAAGCTAAAATAAGCTAAAATAAACGATCAAATTGCATAAAAAACTATCAAATTCGGTAAAAAACTATCAAATTCCATAAAAAAAACTATAAAATTTGATAAAAAACTATCAAATTTCATAAAAAAACTATCAAATTCCATAAAAACCATCAAATTCCATAAAAGAAACTATAAAATTTAACTTTCTTTTAGTACTTTTCGATTAAAGGAACAAATTTGTAGGCCCTAATCGGAAAGAATCAATATTTTCGATATGCAAATTGTGATTCGTATGCTAATCGACTTGAATTGAAAGCTTAAAACAGTTTGAAAGCTTAAAATTTGGATAAATTTGAATAAATATAGAGGAATGGTTTTCAAAATCATAAAATATCATTCTTTGTTTCACCTTTGTCTCCCAAAATACGTGGTGCCGGCACGAGCTCGCATACGATAATGAATTGAGGGTTTTTGGAGTGAAGAACAGTGAAGTGAAGAACAAAAAAATTCGAATGCAAATCTGGAATCGAAAACGAGATTTGAAAAACGGAGCAAAAACAAAAACAGCGAAAATTTGAGGCTTTTTTTGGTCAATTTGAGCATTTCACAATAGTTGACAGTACAAAAATGCCTTTAGCAAGGTGATAAATGTCTCGAAAAGAGGATTTGAGGTAATTGAATTGAATTGAAGTCATTGAATGACTTCAAATCGATTCATCAATTGCTCTGATTTCAGAGAGCATTTAGATCTTGTCAAAATTTACATAGAAATATCGGATTTTCATATAAAAATCCTACAAAAGAGCTGATTGACTATAATCTTTAGAATCTTAAGAATCCTAAGAACTCTCCGGTCCAGGCTTTTTCTAAAGGTGATTCAATTTTTTGGGTCAAGACCTAGAGCCTGGTCTCGTCTGGAGTCGGCTTTTTTCGCCACTTTTCAATCGTTTTTTCTAAACACTGGTTAATGCTAAAAATATAAGTTATTTCTACAAAAAATTCCCCTATCTTTCTACTTTAATTTGATACATAAATGAGTAGAAAGAAACGTACTGGTGTCAAGATATGAGCGTTTATTTGAGAGTAAAGTTAAGCCACGCCACGCTCCTATGGGGATTTGTATTTGTTAGAGTATTTACAATGTACTATATAGTCTAAAAGCCAGAAAGTTCTTGGGAGAGGCAAAAATTGACATATTTAAGCAAAATTTTCATATTTTCAGCGCAATTTTTGTCTTTTGAATGCAAATTTAAAGCTGTTTTTTAATTTTGGCGGATTTCTTACAAGAAAATAAGTTATTTTTACATTATAATTTAAAAATTTCTAGCTTTAAGGGGTAAAATTTTTTTAAATGAAACTTTCTGCACCGTCGAAGATCGTTTTGAGGGGCATTTTCCCTCTGGCTATGGGCCTAAGTCTATCACATAGTACTGTAAATCTAAAATCTTGCATTTCTTTTGCCTAAATGTCTGGACAAGCCAAGATAATCAAAGATGCAGATCTGCTCTATACTTTTTCGATTTACATGGCAGTTTACATGGCAGCTTATCCCAAGAATTTTCAGCTCTTTAGATGAAATTTGAGCTTTACGGCAGTGTGCAAAAGTTTGCCTGAGTAAACGTTCCGCAACAAAATTCTCTGACCCGGTTCGATCTAACAAATTTTCGTGACTCATACCCAAAGTAATAAACTGCAATTTTTTGATATCTTTCCAACCAGATCATCTATTTTACGAACAATTTGAAAATCAACTGAATAAAGAGATCAACAGAATAAAGAGATCAACTTATAATTATAATAAAAGTTGTCTGGCTTTAATCGGATTTTGGACCAGAGTAGAGCCAGCTTCAAGACGCGTTTTAAATGATAAAAAGATGAACTGAAAACGAAATCATTTCAAAACATCAAAACCAAGAAATAGCAAAACTTTGGGATTAGGTTGGGGTGAAGAATTGATCAAAATCCTTGTATGGGCGAGAGGTGTGTCCGTTGAAGAAAAATCGGGGGAAAGGGTGAAAAGGATGAAAAGGTGAAAAGAAAAGAAGAAAAAAAGGCGCTGATTTGTCAAGGGTGAATCGCTCGAGAGAATTGTGCAGAACTTTGGTGGAGATCGGGAGAGAAATGGGGAAAAGATTGGGGAAAGACAAGGTGAGACTGCAGGCATCGAATTGAGGAAAGATTGGGGGAAGAAGGGGGGAAGAAGGGGCGAAGAAGGGGGAAGAAGGGGTGGAGAGGAAGGGGAAAAGTTCCTTGAGACTGTGCGGAAATGTGAATTTCGAAGTCCTACACTTTAGCGGCTTACACTGGCATGAGTGCATTGTTACCCCTTGCAATATTTACCTAGATCTCTTACTAGGGAATGTTGTTAACTTATCGTGGCTTTTTTTGACTCGAGGAAATAGCCTATCTAATGCAGTTTTTCACGCTGATTCCGAATCTGCACTCAGTTTTTGGCAAACGCTTCTCTATAGCGAGATATTTGGCATACAAGATTTTGGGGTTTATGAGGGCGACGCACTGTCTTCAGTCAACGGCCTCGGTGGTGTAGTGGTTAGTGCGTATGTCAAAAACTGAGTGGAGATTCGGAATCAGCGTGAAAAACTACATCAGATAGGCTATTTCCCCGAGCTATTTCCCCAAAACCCACGATAATTTAACAACATTCCCTAGTTAGAAAAGCCCAGGGCAGTTCCTAGACCAAGATTTCTAGTCCAGGGCTCAGGCCCAGCGCAAGCACAAGCTTTAAAACAAATTTGAGCTTCTATCAGGCTTAGCGTCGTTATATAGAGAGTTATATAGAGTTCCGTTATAGAGCGAGTCGACTGTATGATATCATACTTGTATGAGATATGAGATAATACTTGTATTTAGTGTACTTCGACTTTCTACAGTGCCACTGTAAGCTAAGCTTGCCTATCAGTAATTAAATCACGGCAAAATATCGCCATAGCGTTTACGAAAGGGTTTTGAACTTTACGTTTTTATTAAAAAAAGACATGAAAAGGATTTTATCGGAAAGTTGCACTCATTTTTTTACGAGGAATTTCTTGGAATCAACTTGTAAATTGTAGCAGAAAGTGTTCTTAAATTGGTGGATTCGTTTTTAAGAGATTCCAGTCCAAATCTTTGCAAAGACTTTCTTGTCAACCCAAGAAATTTGGCCCGGAATTGATTAAGCTAAAGAGCCATTCGTCTTGTAAAAATAAACGGTAAAGCCGACACCTTACTGACTTACTTGACTTTACATAAAGAATGACGTTTTTAAAAGAAAATCGTGATTGGCAGCACTCATTTTCACTCCATTTCACTCTAACAAACCAGTAAGTCCCTCAATTCCACGTAAGAGTCATCAGAAATGATGTTTGAAAGTACTTATCCATTCAAATTTATTCAACTTAAACCCCCGTTTTTTTCAGTTATGTTTTGATTTCAATAGATTTGAAAGTTCACCTTTGGAAAATCTTGTTTTTTTCTAAAAGCTTTCGTACAGCTCTACTTAGGCTATCTCCAGCAGAATAGAAATGCGTAAAAGCAGTTCCGGATTATCCTTTTCTGGATAATTAGAGAAAACTGAAATTTCCAATCCGTAATCTAATCCGTAATCTGATCCGGAACCTGATCCGGAATACAAAAAGGTTCCGGATTCTAAGTTCAGATTAAAGTCCAAGTATAAAGATCATCGATGAGCAATCTTGCACAGAAAATTGTCACAGGAATCATGGAGGAAAGGGGAAAGAAGGTGATTTTTCCCATTTCTTGTTCCTTGTTCTCACAACCCAGGACACTCCTTTTCCCTCGAAATCATAATCACTGTCGGATCTGTGTTTTTGTCACCACCTTTCCCTTTTCTTCTTCCTTTTCTTCTCCCTTTTCATTCCACTTGCAAACCGGAGGCCTTGAAAAAAAGTCTAAAATAAAGTCTACAATAATTTTTGCCGCTCTTGGGGTTATTTTTTCAAAAAATATTTTGTTTCTATATAGTTTTTCTATTTAAATGCAAACCAGGAGAAACCAGGATCAGTTTCTATTTAAGTGCAAACCAGGACAAACCAGGACCAACAAACCAGGACAAACCAGGACCAGCAAACCAGGACCAGCAAACCAGGACAAACCAGGACCAACAAACCAGGACCAGCAAACCAGGACAAACCAGGACCAGCAAACCAGGACAAACCAGGACCAGCAAACCAGGACAAACCAGGACCAACAAACCAAGACCAGGACACCCCTCTTCCTAGTCTTGCTAACGATCTTTAAGCACTTTATTCAGCAAAAACATTTTCAATCGATTTCCTATTTTTTTCTCGATTAAGTTTTGAGGGTTCGATGCAAGTAGACATCCGGCACCGGACGAGCCATTCTGCCTGAAAATGATTCAATTTCATTTAGAATAATTTAGAATTTAGAATAATACTCGAAAATCTTTGGTTTTGCCAGCCTTTTCTGTGGAATCAACTGAAAAGCAATCGCAGATCATCAGACTTTACTGAGCCCGTGCAAGAATAGATTTTCTTTTCTTTTCTTACAGGTTTTCGTGGATTTTATTGAAAACTGGCCAGTGATCAAGTTGACGGTTGAATCCCCTTTCGCCTCTTTCTCATAGTCGATCAATTGACGCCAGAAGCCGACATTCGGTGAAACGATTGGACGGCGCTAGAAATGAAAAACGTGCTTCGAAATTGTTTTTACCGAGTCTGGCTTGGCGAGTCTGGTTTGGCGATTCTGACTTGGCGTGGGTCTAGATCAGGGCAAGCCTGAAGTCAAGTTCTGACCTGACTTCTAGCCTTGCTCCAATCAAAAGAGCCGATCAGAAGAGCCAGTCAAAAGCCAGACCAGACTTGTGCTAGTTCAGGTCAGGCTAGAACCAGATCTGGCACCAGATCCTGTCCTGACTTCTGACTGGCTCAAGAACTGCTCCCAGAAAAAGCATTTGAGCTAGTCAGAAGCCAGGTTTAAAGAACTCAACTGAAGTGGTAAATTTCTCACTACATGAGATGTAGTCTACAAAGTCTAAAAGTTGACGTGATCGTCTAAGATTAGGCTTTCTCTTTTTGCCTTTCCATCCACTCACCTGATTGAGATGATGATATGCGTCCTTGAGTGTGAACCCTTCACCTTTCACCAAATAGGCAAGACATAGAGCGGCCGATCGACTCACACCCGCTGCACAGAAAATTATCGTTTTCCCGCCCTGGAAAACTTTTTGGGTAAAGTTTTACAACCATTATTGCAAGGATGGGTCTGTAGGCAAGGCTTTCTGGGTTATGGCAGGATTGTGGGACATTTGATAGATTCCCCGCCCTCTTTGCCATTGGCAATCCAACTTTGAGCTCAAATATCTTGGTACTGGATTGTCCAATTTCAGTAGTTTTTGTACGAATCGACAGAGAAAGACTTGGCGCATCTAATGATATTAAAAATGTTTCAATTAGACAGCTCGACACCAAGGTATTTGAGCTCAAAGTCAGGCAAAAGGACCGGGACGTGTATGTCCCCAAAATTTGATACGCGCCGCGCCCCTTTTGCCATTGGGGGGCAACAAAATGCTCAAATTTGTCTGTCTTCCATAAAACAATCATTTTTCTGTAATGATAACTGTTTATTTGTCCTTTTCTCCAAGAATATTTACACCAAAACGAGTTGGTTAAAAAAGGGGAAAATTCGAGAGAGAAAACACTTTGAAGCAACGCGAAAATAGAGAGGATATGGATGATTTGAAGATGACGAAAAAAAACGAAGAGAAGAGGGTGATTAGTAGCCGGAGAGCTCCTGAAAATTGAGGGAATTTGCTTGGGAATTTGCTCAAAGTTTAATGATCAACCGGGTATCAGATACAGAATTTTTAGTCTAAGCTAGTGTAAGAATAGGTGATTTGCTATTTTTTTGATTAGAATTATGGCCCAGAATCTGGATTCCGGCCTGAAATGGCCTAGAAGCTGGTTGGACTGTTTCAGGCGTGAACTGGCTTACAACCTGAACCTGAACTGACTTAGATCAGGCCTGACTTTTACTCTGGAACCCAAGTAAAACATTCCTAGTAAGCTGGTTACATTGCAAATCATAAAAGTTCCATATCTTATACCCAATCTTGTACAATTTAGACAATTTAGACTACTTTACTGTTCCGAGTCCGGGCCCAAGTACAGTTCAAGCCATGGAATCAATGACCAAGAAAATTCTCAGTGAATGCTAATAAATTTGGGTAAATGTGCTTATTCTCGTAATGTAGCTATGTCAGATTGAACCTTTTTCTATTTCCCTCACCTGGAAGGTGTCATCGAGCTCATCGGAGATGGCGGCATATCTCTCTTTCTCGTGGACGAGCTCATCTTCGAGACGATCGACCTCTTTCTGGAGTTTTTGCACCGATCGCTCGGCGAACTCGGCACGAGTCTCAGCCTGAAAATTAATGGTTGAACTTACTAAACAATAAGCACTCAAACTGATTCTGTAAGAAGAATCTCTAAAAAGAAGCAGAGATCTTGCTAGAGAACTCCACCAACTTAGCATCGAAGCAAGGTTTTTGATTGTGAAAGCTGATATTCTTTTTTGTTCACTGAAAATTATTCTCATTCATTTCCAAGTGTTCTGTTTAGCTTCTTACCGTTTATAGACACTTTAAAACACCTAAAAATTAATTTTAGTGCTTTAACAAAGAGCAAAAACGTTTTGAAAGTCAGGGATTCGAATCGGAGAGAGGGAGGGACCTAGGAGCGCGAGAGGCGAACGCACTATCCACTGCACCATCGAGTCACTGCTTGGTGGGAAGTATTTCAGCGTCATACCGGGGCGGCGCCGTTTTTCCAAAAAGTACCCTAACTTCAAAAGCATTTTTCTTGAAAACTGGATACTAAGGAGTAGACCTGCTTAACGGGCCCGGGTAAAATCTTTCAGTATGCCTCGCTATTCGATTTTTTACTTCGATAAGAGTTCCAGACTTGATAAAATTAACGAGTCCAGAAAAATTTTAATCTAAAATGATCGAAATCTAAAGAATGACAAAATAGAACCCAGCCATGTTTAGTATCAAAATGAAGCCTAGAATCAGGGCTTGCGGGGGAATTGGGTTTCATGCTCGAAGGAGCTTTGGGTAGTAAAAAATCGAAGAGCGAGACAGACTGTATGAAAATTTTGCCCGGACTCGTTAAGCAGGTATGAAGTAAAACTGAAAAACACATATCCCTTAGAATTTCATGGTGGCTCCACCATGAAATAGGTGCGCTAGGTTTTAAATCGACGCTAAGTTGGTGTAGTTTCCTAATTAGTATTGTCAATTTGTTCAAAATTAGTATAAAATTCAAAAACACAAGAATCTTTGCCAGATTCATGTTGGCAAGCTGCCACTTTTTCAGAAATTTTCATGATTTAAAGAAAGAAATATGAATATTAGGATAAAAACCTATCAATGATCTGTATTTGGTATGAATTTGATTGGCAATAGATCTGTTTGACAATAGGCCAATTTTATCCATTCACTCACCTCTTTGAGCCTCTGTGTGACGGTACGGATTTGCTCCTGGAATGCGTCTTCTCTTTGCATTGCCTTTTCCTCGGAAACTTCCAGTGATTTCAAGTTGTTTCCCACCACTCGCAACTCCTCCTCAAGTTCGACGATCTTGCTGAAAATTCGAAATTAGCAAAAATCGAATAGATAAATCGGATTCTTTGCAAGGGTTTAATAGAGTTGCTTTTAAGGAAAATAGCTTTCAAGGGAAATAGCTTTCAAGGAAAATAGCTTTCAAGGAAGATAGCTTTCAAGGAATAGCTTTCAAGAAAAATAGCTTTCAAGGAATAGCTTTCAAGGAAAATAGCTTCAAGTAATAGCTTCCAAACTTCTTCCTTTCTTCTTTCTTTCATCCTTCTTCTTCCCCCTTGTCTTTCCTTCTTTCTCTTGACAAGTTAAGGTGCTGGATAGCTCAGTGGTTAGAGAAAGAAGGTCAAGGAAGAGCAGAAGGTCAAGGAAGAGCTGGAAAGTAGAAGGTCGAGGGATCAATCCCCGTTTCTACTACTACTTTTCTACTTTTCTCCTTTTTCTACTACTTTTCTACTACAATTCTTTCACTTCTTTATTATTCTCTCTAGGTCTAATTATATAATTTTGAATCATGCTACTTCTCCTATTTGATTTTTTAATTTTTAAATCCCCATACTTCTCTCCGGCTTCAGCCCTTTCCTCAGCTCTCTCTCGAGATCAGCCTCAACCATGGCAAGTTTACGGGCAACTTCATCGTATTTTCGGTCGGCCTCCTCGGCGAGGGCTTGGGCTTCCTGAAAAATTGATTCTATTACTCAAAGCACTCTCGGTTTTTAGTGCGAAACTCCCATTGAATCTTTTCAAATATCAAAAGAGATCAATCAATTTTAGGCTGGGGAAAGAATTTTAGCCCGCAAATGATAAAGCTTTCATTTAAAACTGTTCAAGATGATTTTAGCATCAAAGAATGGCTTTTTTTTTCCTTATCCTTGTCCCAACCTTGAGTTGTTCCTCAACAGAATTGGCCTTCTCTTCAACTTGGAATGATCGTGCTTCCATCTCGCGACGAGCTCTCTCAGTGTCATCGATTTGAGAAGTAGCCTCTTCGAGTTTCTCGGTGGCAACCTGGAAAATTGCAATCAATTTTGGGAATCTCAATTCAATTCAACACATAGTATCATTTTTTAGTCTATTCTTATCATTAGATCCATAGTATTGGATCCATTAATAGCTGACCAGGCTACAGGCTTTCTCTTCAACTTGGAATCATCGTGCTTCCAAGCTTTTGAAAAGCAGAATACGATGAATTGGATAAAGTTTAGAGTTTCACAGAGTCACTTTTAAAATTGAATCAAAATCTGACCTTGAGGCGTTCCTCGGTTCTTTGGAGCTCTTCTTCAACGAGAACGATACGGCGATTGATCGAAGCGACCTCGGCCTCAGCTTCAGCAGCCTAGAAATTTTAGGTTTAACAAAATGAACAATATTGAACAATATTAGTTAAAGATTAAAGTTTTTGACTTATTAAATAGTAGATTAAGATCAAATAGTAGTATAATTAGAAATAGGATTTGTAGATTAAGTAGATTAAGTAGATTAATAGTCGTATAAGTATCCTAGTAGAAAAGAGAATTGAATTCACGATCGGAATTCGTTTTCATTGTGATAATGGGTGTTAAAAGTTCGCCCGGTGGCCTCAATTGCTATAAAGTTTAAGGAATTTAGTGGCTGTTACCCAGTATGATAATGGGAGTTACCCAGTAGCTTCAATTGCTATAAAGTCTAAGGAATTTAGTGGCTTTGCGGCTTTTAGCGGCTTAGCTTAGTGGCTTTGAGTTTGAGGGTTTGAGGAATTGTCCCTTCATTTACCTTCTTGTCTTTCTCCTCCAATTGGGTGGTGACATTGGCGAGTTTCTCTTGGATTTCGTCCAAATTGTTCTCAGTTTGAACCATCTTCTTCTGAGTGTCACGGAGCTCTTCCTCAACGGAGGCAAGACGGGTTTGCACCTCGCGTTCCTGAAATTGATGAATTTTACAAGAAACCAGGTAAATGATGATCTTTATGGGCTGTAAACTGAAGATATGGCTTATTAGTTGATAGTAAGCTAATAGGAAACTAAGAGGAAACTAAGAGGAAACTAAGAGGAAACTAGTAGTAGACTAATAATAGACTAATCGTAGACTAATAGTAAACTAATAGTAAACTAATCATAAACTAATAGGAAACTAATAGGAAACTAATAGTAAACTAATAGTAGACTAAATCCTAAAACAAATCTCAAGTCCATCATAAGTTAGAATTCTCATCAATCTTTTACAAGACCTAACAAGGGAAAAGCATTAGGTCAAGATGGGCTTTCAAAATGAAACCCTGATAGAACTTTTTCCCCTGATTTCTGAATCAAGTTTTAGTTTTTCTAGTGGAGTTCTGTAACGCGAGATATTATGGACACAAAAACTGATCCCGATTCATCTATGTTTAGATTTCTTTATCGTTCCTAAAACGTGAGCTCATGGCTGAGTGAAAGTGTGCTAGCCTATGAGGTTCAAATTTTCTTTTTACCTTTTCACCTCGGGTTTAAATCCCCATGCTGACAATTTTTCCTTGTTTTTGCAAAAGGAAACATTATTACGCTTTTGAACAATTAGAAGATAGGTTTTTTGTTTAAAATCTTGTTAATTGTCTTCTTTCGCAAACACTAAAAAAATTCTCTTGGGATTTGAAGTAAAAAATCGGGTACTACGCCGGTTGGGTGGGCAATTTTCTCTTCAAAACCACTTTTTCTAGGGTAGTTTTATGCAAAGATTCCAAAAAACACAACGAGAGCTTGGGAAAAAGCGTTTTAAGCCAAGTTTCACAGTTTCAAAGTGCGCGCTTCTATAGAGCCCAAGCTTCTATATAGCCCATTAAATGGAGCTCGAGCTATCGACTATTGGGGCACTTTTCAAGCTCACAACTAAGCCAAAACCATTTCCAATCAATAAATATTCATTTTCTAATTTAAATTAACTGGTAGAGGCAAAAGAAATTGAAAAATGTTTTTTTTAAGATTTTGCCCTATTTTGACTCATGTGGGTGACCACATGGTCGAAATTTGAAAAAAAGCTTTTTTTTATTTTGCTTTAATTTAATCAGAAACGTCATCAGTAGGTTAAATTATACCAGAAGAAGTGTTTTTGGCTTTAGAAAATGTTTTGAGAGACCATTTTTAGACCACTCCCCTTTGTCTACTGTATGAGAGAACTTTGGAGCTCTGAAACTCCGCTTAAAACGCCTTTTCTCAAGCTGTCGTCGTGTTTTTTGGAATCTACACATAAAACTATCCCAGAAATAGTTGCGAATCAAAATCGTTCTCACAGATGTTAGCAATACATGGCTAATTGTAGGTTAACAATTGGTTTTTCTTTGATATTTCTTGTCTCGATCTACCGTACCTCTTAGTTTACTAGATTCTACCATTTTCTCCAATTGGCTTTCTCAAATTGGCTTTCTCAAATTGGCCTTCTCAAATTGGCTTTCTCAAATTGGCTTTCTCCAATTGGCTTACCGTACCTTAGCCTCTTATATTTTCTATTTCTACCGTACCTTTGACTCAGCTTCGTCAGCTCTGACCAAGGCGGCATCCTTCTCCATCTTCATCGCTTGCATCTTCTTCTTGATGGCGTCCATTTTTGAGTTCTGTTGCTTCGGGTTTACCCGGACCGGAGATAAACAAACTGAAACATCGAGAAAGTGATCGGAAATCACAACAAAGCAAAAATGGAACGAGAAAATCGATGAAATTGAAGCAAATCACTGGGCTGTTTTTCTTTTCTCGAGATGTCAAGGGAATTATTTTTCAAATTGTAGAATAAAATAGGGTATTTCAAAATAGCTAAATGAAAATTTGAGACAATACAGTACAGCTTTTAAAGAACTGTTGGGTTCTAAAGGTTTTAAAGGACCATAAAGTTACACTGCTTTTAAAGTGCTTCCCAAAATCGGGACTTTAAAAGCCCGGTGAATAATTTGAAAGGAGTTCAGTCTACTGTACTTGAATTACTCTAGCGAAAAAGGATACTAGAATCTTACAGAATCTTTAAGTATCTGTAGATCTAGACTGGGACAAAGCTGGACTACGGTAGATGTAGTGGCAATCAGGGATAATTGGTAAGGCTCAATTAATAAGGTAAGCCGGGCTAGGTAAAGTCAGGCCCATGGATTCTTTTGAAGCCCCTGGAGTAAGGATCTGTAGTAAAACCAAGCTCGATCAAGCAAGGTATAACTAGTTTAGAGCCAAGTCAAAGCCAGATCAAAGCCAGGTCAAAGCCAGGTCAGAGACTATAGAAGTTTTTGAGTTTTCAGAGACTCCAGAAGTTTTTGTAATATCTTAGTATTGACGATTTTGTTCAAAATCAGTTTAAAATTCAAAGTCAAAAACACAAGATTCAAGATCAAGATTCAGAACTTTAAGAAAGAAATATAGAAAAAAAGAAAGCCAGGCTAGGAGCTAGTTGATCTATTCTAACCTAGCCTGGCCCCTGACCTGGTCTGGCTGGCCAGGATACTGATTTCTGATCAATTTTCCTGATCAATCAAAGTTAGATCAAGTCAACTTAGAGAATATGGCTAAAACTGGCTAAAACCAGCAGGATTAGGATATACAGTACTTTTCAAAAGCTGCTTCCTAGCTCTATATGGGATGGAATGGAAAAGGAATAAAAACTGGAATAGACTGGAATGGAAAAGGTAAAGAATGAAGATTGTGATAGCTCAATGCTCTAGAATGCGAGAATGCTAGAAAGCAATGCGAACCAATTAGCATAACCAAATAAAACGAATAGCCCAATCAGAAAGTCGATATTTTGAGTGAAAAGAGTGGGAGTTTCAGTTCTCGAGGATTGGAGTCCCAGTAGAGATCCAGATCAAGAAAAGGGAAAAAGAGAAAGCACAAAAGAGAATGGATAACTCTAAGAATCGGAGCTTTTCCCCCACAAATATCGATGTGCTTTTCGCTTTGTGTTTCTCTGTATTGGGGAGGGGGAGCACACGGTGTAAAGCTGAAAGAAGGGAAGGGACCCCCTCAAGGCCTTTATCTTTCTATATTCTTTATTCTTTTCTATCCTTTCTTTCCTCACTTTTCTCCTTTCTATCTTCTCCCTTCTTCCCTTCTTCTTTCCTTCTTCCTTCTTATCCTTTCCCTTTACATCCAATGCATTTCTCTCTTTACAACCAACTCTTGCTTCAATAGCTCTTTCGATCTTCATTCCTCTAATTTCCTCAATTCTCAAATCTTTTCCATTTCCTAGCATACAAATCTCTTAACGCATTGTCTTTCTTCGCATTCTCTCTTTTCTCTTTCTCATTTTATCTCAATCTTGACTCCTTTATCTTCTTTATCTTCTTCATCCTCTTTACTCTGTCTATCACAGCCTCTACACCTCCCCTACCTCTCTCACTTTGTCAGAAAATCTTTCTTTATCTAACTTTTCTTGTATCCACCCTTGCCTCACTCAACTTTTGTTCAAAACCTCTTTATCTCATCCAAACCTCTTTATCTCGTTCTTTACCACACTTACAACTCTTGTCTCTATCTCATTCTCCTCCACCTCCCCTCCAGGCAGCTGACATCAGAGCGGGGGCGAATCCAAGACCCAAAACAGCCCCTCGTTTTCTTTTCTTTCTCTTCATGATCCACAAGATCGAACTGAGCCTCGATTTAAGTTCAGCAAAAAGATTGGGGATCATTCACAAAAGCACTTGCTTCACACAGCGAAAAATTGGGGATCTTGATCATAACTTGGGGGTGGGTGGAGAGTCTAAAATGTCTACTGGTGGAAATTAGAGTCGAACCTTGATATAACGAACTAAGAGACTGACCAAAAAGTCCGTTCTACCTAAGTGTTCGTTGTATTGAGCGTTTCGCTGTATCGAAGTTCGTTATATTGAAGTTCGACTGTATCAAAGTTGTATCAAAGTGTTTACAACTAGGAACAGGGTAACAACAGTGAATCATGTCAGATCACAAAGACTTGAGAGTAACTTTTGTTGATTAACCCATAAAAAAATCCCAAGTTTCCTACTTTGAAAAGCTTTTAAATTTCAATTTTTAAAGAGCACCTCCCAATGATTTGCTTTGCAAGCTTTAAAATAACAAAAATACAATAGAAAACAAGTAAATCACGAAAAATATAATCAAAACTGTTATTCTGTATGGATTCTTTTGAAAACTTGATACTTAGAGCTCAAAAATGGATACTTAGAGCCCAAAAAATTCAAAACACACGTTTTCTGATGCATTCAATTCTTCTAGACTAGGGAAATGAGGAATTAAGCGTGAAAATTAGGATTTGGTGTTGATTTTGAGCCCAAATTTGTTAAACCTATAGAACCTATGTTAAACCTTTGTTAAACCTTAAACCTATGAAGCATCGAGTGCGCCAGAAAAGATGCTAAAATGCAGGCGCAAAGTATATGAGGTAAACTGCTTTTTAAACTCTTGCACCAACCTTTTGCTTGGCGCCATCAACGAACTGATTGACTGCATCGAAATGTTGATTCAATTTCGCCAGCACATCGTCTGCCACGGGCACCTCAAGCACTTCGACAGCTGAAAATTCAATCTCAAAAAGCTTTCAGATGTTTGAACCACAAAATCTTGCTTTCTCGTCGAAACGATTTTCTAAACCATTTCCCTATTTCTCTTTCTCCCTTTCTTCTCTCTATTTTCATCAAATCCCTCCACTTTTTATATCTTTCAATATCTTTTGTGAATTCTCACAGAATTAAACCAAAAAAAGTCAATAGATTAGATAAGAATGGAGTCAAGATTACGGTAGAAAGAGAAATAGGGACACTGTTTTGAAAATGAGTCTTCGAGAGGGTATTCTGTATTTACGGCCTCTTTAGTAGATTAGCTCCAAAGCGCCAAGTTCAACCCTAATGTGTTAAGTGTTAGATAAAATGTTGAAGCCCATAATCTTGGCTACATTTATCTATTAAAAGTTTTCCAAGTGCGGATATACAACCAATTTTAGAAGCCTTTGAATGAGTTGATCCCTTTCCTCTCCGGCACGCCGCCATTTTTGATAGCTCAAAGCGCCAAGTTCAACAAAATGTGTTAAGTGTTATATGAAATGTTGAAGCCCATAATCTTGGCTACATTTATCTATTAAAAGTTTCTCGATTCGAGCTATACAACTCATTTTACAAGCTCTTGAATGAGTCGCCAAAAATGGCAGCGAGGGATCAACTAGTACCCATTCAAGAGCTTGTAAAATGAGTTGTATAGCTTGAATCGGGAAACTTTTAAGAGATAAATGTAGCCAAGATTATGGGCTTCAACATTTTATCTAACACTTAACACATTAGGGTTGAACTTGACGCTTGGGAGCTCGGGAGCTTGGGAGCTTGGAAAAAAAGAAGTCGCCGTAAATACTCAACATCCTGTCCTATAAGAGAATTCAGTGAACAAAATAAGGCAAAAATTAAAAGCACAAAATACACAATAAACTCGTTTAAAGTTTAAAGAAATGAAGAAATGAAGAAATGAAAAAGATTAGATAAAAATCGATTCAAGATTACTTTAGCAAACTCGCAAAGAATCGAACTCACTTTTCAATTTTTCCCTATCAATCCGAGATTTGTCGCATCGATGACGTGCGTGATGCCGAATTGTTTCAACTGAAATTTGAGAATGAAAAGTTTTAAGCGTGGCTTAGATAGGACTTAGAAATTAAAAATGACGAGATTTGGGATTTTGTACGAAAAAGTTCTTGTCTTAACCACTAGTTTATGTGTTTAAAACAAGACTTTAAGTCTTTTGCTCCTTATCGTACAAACTTCTTTGGTTAAGCAGCTCGAATTTTACCCACTATTTATACTTTTACTTCAACCCAACGGTTTACTTGAACGAATTCAATAAAGAAGCTGAAATGCGAAAGATTTCAAGCAAAATGGACCAAGATTTGTTTGCTTGCTTTGCTTATTTGCTTTCATCCTGAGAAACAGGATGAAAGCAACAATTTAACTGATTTAACTTGAACAGAATGAAAGGAACTTTTTTCAAATATGATATTTCATTGTCCAGTACTGTACCTTTACTTCAACTCAACGGTTTACTTAACCGAATTCAATAACCGGGCTAAAATGTGGAAGGATTCAAGCAAAATAGACCAAGTTTTGTTCGAAACAGAATGAAAGCAACAATTTAACTGATTTCACTTGTATTTAACACTGACTTTGACAGCAAGAAAATAAACAAAAATTTGCAAAATTTATTAAAAAGATTGAGAGAGAAAAAAGGTATTCAGACGAGACAACAATTGAGCGTAATTCGTACTTTTTCGTAGTCATTTGTTTTACTTTGGAACGACTTTTTGATGTAAATTTGTGATCTTGAATGTATAACGCTAAATATTTAGCACAGAAAGTCGTTTCGTTCCTTTTACCTACTTCTGTTTAAAATCAACAAATGCACCAATTGAGCTACACACTGGACAGCGTGAACTTTCTAAACTTTCTGGACTTTCTGGACTTTCTGGACTTTCTGGACTAAACATGTGCTCAGTCGGTACCAGGGTTTTTTCTAAAAAGCCAGGCCAAAGTCAGGTTGGCTTTGCTTGACCAGCCGAACCGTTTTTTAGCCTTTTAAAAGCAAGAAAATGAACAAATATTTCAACAATATATAAAAAGATTGAGAGAAAAGGGAAAAAGGAGAAAAGTCGAGACAACAATTCAACGAAACTAGGACTTTTTCGTAGTCGTTTTACTTTGGAAACTATGCACTTTTGGATGTAGGTTTGTCAGCTAAGCTGTAAGCTAAGCTGTAAGCTGTAAGCTGCAAGCTGTAAGCTGCAAGCTAATGTAAATCGCAGCTCAATTTAGCACAGATTGCTTCATTGATGTGAAAAGCACTGTGTTGTATGAGATTTGTAGCCAGATTTATTGCAAAATCTCAAAAAGAAAAGCTAATTTTTTTAAACTCTTTAATGGCCTTTTTAATCGCCAAATATTGTTAAAAAAATGCAATCAAAAGTACTAAATTGTTAAGTGCATACAGGGTGACTGAAAAGTTCTCATACCTTCAGAAAAAGTTCTTTTTTGATGGGGAAATATTGAGAAACTTTTAAGCTATGTTGATTTTCAGATTTTCCACATATTTTCACATTAGAAACGAAATTTTCAACTCACTAGCTCTATTCGAAAAAGTTTTACGGGCAATTAATAAAAGTTGGGCAGTCGAAGACTTGGACAATTCGGACAGTCGGACAATCCAGGACAGTTCAACTCTTTATCGTAAAAGAGTTATTCGTAAAAGCTTATTTTTACAGAAAATATGATTAGTAGTTGTGGATTTTTATTAGTATCAATATCAATATCAACAATTTTTATCAGTGATTTTTATCGAACTGTCCGAACTGTCCGATTAAAAGTTCTTTGCTACTTCATTTCCCTTTTAATATTAACTGTAAAAAGCTTTTAGTAAGACTCTCCGACTTTTACTGATTGTACTTTTACTGATTACTGTTTTACGTTAATTTCTTTCTGATTTGCTTTACTCGTTGCTCGCATCCACATTGGAAACAAAGGGAAAAGAAACGTCACTCATTTTCCCATTTCTCCCATAAAAACATAGCTTTCAGCTTTGCTACTTCATTTCCCTTTTAATACAGTGCGGTGCAACTTGATTGGGCTTAACTATTAGCTTAACTAACTATACATCACTACAGTGCGGTGTAAAACCATGCGCCACCCCCTAAATTTCAATTTTCTGCGGCTTCCGTGCCAGTGACAAAAAAAACTGAAAACGTAGTTAGATTCAGGACCAAAAATAACCCTTCAAACCCCAAAAACCATCGACATAGCATGAATAGGGAAAATGTAACAGCCAAAAAACGAAAATTCACCCGGTGCAAAACCAAACGCCACCCCTCAAATTTTGGTGTCATTTCATATTTTTGTTTTCTATGAACGGGAAATAAACTGTAAAGAAGCTATTTTTAAAATTCTTCTTCACGTCTAGAAGACGTAAAGAAAAATAGAGTCGATGAAAAGGAAAAGTATAAACTTAATCGTGATTGGTTTACCGAAATGGAGTGCCCATGTATTAACGGAAAAAAAGCTTTTAGTGAGACAAAAAGTACATCAACGTAACAGAATAGCACGCGAACAGAATACATGTTTTTTATTCTCAACTTTACAATATTTATTTCCCACCTTTGCCTCCGTGATACACCCATAGCCTGAAACAAAGAGGTGAGGTAGAATCTCACTGATATCATGTAAATGAGTCGGCTTTATGGGGTTTCTCCTCTTTCCCTGTTTCGTGGCAATCATCTGGAAAGCGTTCAGAATTAGTTAATAAAGGAAAACTGTTAATAAAGTTTAGAAAATCGTTTACAAAGGGCACCACAGGGTTGGCCCACAGTGCCGCACTTCGGAGGGCCTAGATTGGCCAAAAATTGAGCCAATCGTTCTGTTTTTTCTGGAGATAAATCTTAAGAATATCTCCTGGAATGGTGCCAATTATCTAATCGATTCAAGCTTTCAACTTTTTTATATAGCTTTTCAAAGTTTAGAGCAGAATTCTAAGGCATGAATTTTTGAGATCTTGTCAAAATCTTCTTGAATTTCATCTTTTTTAATAAAAAGTCTTTAAGATTTTAATGGTTTTCAATTAATCATATTTAGTTATGAAATTTAAAAGCGATAGACTTTGAAAAATCAGATTTTCTTGTTTTTTCGTGGTTTCTCTGAATGCATAAATGGTTCAAGTAAAAAAGACGATGTTAAGTGAGTTTTGGGTGGCATTTCTCAAGAATTTTTGCACTTGAACATATGAAACTTTGTTTATTAACATAATAAATTCAATCTCAACGAGATTTTGACAAGATGGCTCTCAATGAGTAGCGTGTCGAGCGACATTTTGCTCTCAACTTTGGAAGGTTATATAAAAAAGTTGAAAGCTTGAATCGTTTAGATAATTGGCACCGTTCTAGGAGATATCCTTAAGATTTATCTCCAGAAAAATCAGAACGATTGGCTCAATTTTTGACCAATTTAGGCCCGTAAAAGCGCGTTGGAACTAAGAAAAGTTGAGAAAAAAAACAAGTTGAAGAATGAGGAAATAGAATTGTATGAGAAAAGAAAATTCTGTGTATAATGCTATAAGGGTTTAAAGATAATCGTTTTTTTTAGATTAAAAACACTTTGATAATTGTCACGAATCATTTCAATAAGAGAGAGAGGTAAAAGAAAAGCGCAAAAAGGAGAGGCACGAGAATGTTACAACGTGAAAGGAAAGGTTAGGTTGGGGAGCTTTGGAGAGAAATCCAATGACTCCCGGAGATCATGGGTTTATCATTGTTTAAAAATTAAATATCGATAAATTACATAACGATCAATTAAATAACGATAAATCAAAAGCTATAGAGATACTTTCCGTTTTCTCAAAAACGCATTCGAAAGGTCAAGAAAAGAAGAGATTTGTTTGCGAAAAAAACCCGGCACTTATCAAGTGGCTCAAACTTCGTCACACACACTCAATAGCTTGTTTGTTTTTTTCTAGGAGATCAGAAATCTGAAGAAAGAAGTTAGACTGTAAATTGTAACCACTGAAAAACAAGATTCGTTTTCTAGAAAATGCGTTATTTCATTTCACACACGATCACAAACTATTAATGTCTGCAAAATTTCATTTCAATTCGAATTTCTTTCAAAAGATCACATCAATGAAAGAAAACTTAAATATTTTGATTTGAAAAGAGCTTTTGGCAACTATCTTTTGAGAGATAATGCTTATTGAAGCGAAAGCCTTCAAGCAATTTGTTTTGTTTAAAGATATTAGGTTGACCGGAAAGTTCTTTCCGTTTTTTGACGCTAGATCTAACTTTTTATTTTACTCATCAAAAACGCCAAATAAAAAAAAAACAGAATTTATCTACTCGAAATATTCACCGTCAACATCAATAACATCGTGCCACTTATCGGCAACAAATAGATTCCGCGGCGGTAACATTCACGTGGCTTCGAATCGAAAAACTGAGTGAGTGACAAGCGCATTTCCTCGACGTTTTGAAAGATCTTTCCACGATTCTTTTGAAAGATCAAATGATGCTCCAGAGACCTGAAAAAATGATAATCGGACGATTCTGGACAAAATAACTGAACAGATAATAGTCCGATGGTGCCATGTCGGGGCTGTACGGCGGGTGATCCAAATGTTCCCATCCAAACTCGTCCAAACTCGTTTGCTTGTTTGAAGTTTGAGTTTGAGTAAAAAGTGAGAACAGGAAAAGTCGACGTCGATGTTACTAACTAGAGTAACTATTGGGTTGTCCAGTTATGAGAATGGAAGCTTCAAATCATTAGTGAATTTTGCTCTCAGCTTTAGAATTGTTCCAAAGATATTTTCGAGTCAGAGCTATGTCAGGAGTCAGATTTTGATCTAAACTATTGGGTTGTCCAGTTATGAATGCGCGTTTTTTACTATTTTGTAAATTTCTCAAGATACCGGAATCAGGAAAAGGTATATATGAGTATTATTCGAAAGCTGAAGATCTCCTCGACATTTTGATATAAAAAGTTTTTGAATTTGTTCAGCTTTTGGGCAAATTGACTGCACAGAAGAAGAGGTGGCCAAAAAATGGAAGGGTGCCTTTGGAGCAAGTTTTGGCTCCTCTCAAATTGAGTTAACCGTTTGATGTTTGGCCAATAGATATATCAATATAACTTTTTTTAAATATAACAATTTCAGAGCATCTTTACTTTTTTTTTCTTTTCTGGGCGGTTATTTTACACCATAAAACTTGAGGAATAGCTAAGCTGAAATGGGTTTTTTTTGGAAAACGACCTCTCCTTTGTGCAGTCAATTTCCCAAAAAGTTTAATGAATTCAAAAACTGTTTTATTCCAAAATGTAGAGGAGACCTTCAGCTTTCGAATGAGATATAACACTCATATACATCTGTTCGATATCTTGAGAAATTTACAAAATCGTAAAAACGCGCATTCATAACTGGACAACCCAATATCTTTAAAAATCAATCATTAAAGTTTTTAAATTGATTTCTCTTTTATCGGTTTCTTTCTTTAAAGAAGTATTGATTCCAATAATGGTTCAATTTCGTGAACCATTATTGGAATCATTAGTCGGCGAGAAGCCATCGTGGATCGATCTCCTGGTGCTCGATCACTGTTAGACTTTCAATCTTGCTACAACCCACACTATCTTGATACGTATTCAGAGGTATGTGTTCAATTGTTTTAAACAAAAATTTTATTCTTACAAACAGGGAAAAGCTCACAAAAGCTCAGAGTTCACTCGATTCCGGCCATCAAAAAGTGGATTGAAATCGAGAAATTTGAATGTTGTGAGCTTGGTGTGAAAAATGGAGAAAGCTCAATAAAATTGAAAATTAGAAAACAAGATTAAAACATTTAAAAATGACAAGATTTAATTTCACAAACAGAAAGATGTTTTTATTTTCCGTTGAGCTTTTGATTGAGAGTGTGCCCAGCGACGGCTCCTCCAATCGCTCCGGCCGGTCCACCAGCGACGACTCCTATGAACAAGAAACGATTTTTAAGAGAGTCAGACCGTGATGTTCATATATTTTCCGTCACATTTCATTGAAAAACAATTTCTTTCTAGATTTTGCTCTTTCTCTTTTTAAGGAACACTATTTGAGCACTCAAAAGGGCACTCTTTTTAAGGCACTCTTTTTAAGGCACTCTTTTTAAGGCACTCTTTTTAAGGCACTCTTTTTAAGGCACTCTTTTTAAGGCACTCTTTTTAAGGCACTCTTTTTAAGGCACTCTTTTTAAGGCACTCTTTTTAAGGCACTCTTTTTAAGGCACTCTTTTTAAGGCACTCTTTTTAAGGCACTCAAAAAGTTTTCATTTTTGGTATTTATCGATGAGAAGTGAATGACTGTGTTTAGCAGTCATTCACTCACTGATTTGAACTAAAGCTGGTTGAATGAAAATGACATAAGGGATTAAAATAGGCTCTACAAAATGGCTGCTTTTTAGAACTACCAAAAAGCGTTCCAGCAGTTGTCCACGAGCCAACAGAAGACGCTTCAACAGCTTTCCGTGCCTGGTCCGAATCTCCACAGGCTGCGTGAATTCCAGCTAAAAATTGTGTAAGTTCGTTCTTAAAAAGATTCTTGAAAAGATAGTCTTTTCAAGTACTTCTAAAGTCTCACCTTTGATTTGCCCAACGACGGGAATATAATTGACAGCTGAAGAGACCTCGTTGCCCATTTCAAAGAAGTTTTAATGGAATTGAATTGACGATTTTCAAAGAAGCTGGCTTTTTCAAAGAAGCTTTGGCATCTTTCAAAGAAGCTAATGCCTTTTAAACCCATTTTTTTATTATGCAATGAATTAAATGAGTGCGCGAACAAATAAAAAGCACAACTAACTAATGAGTCAAGTTAAACAGAAAAAGGAAAACAAATAAGTTTTTCAATTTCCTTGCATTGCTTTGAGTATTTGACTCTTTCGTAAATTGGTTAATTTCAAAAAAAACGTCTATCTCCAATTACATTATTTCCAAAGAACAAGTTCTAATCAAGTTTTTCCACTAAATTGGCCTTCACTCAGTGAGCTGTGGAGGCTAAAAAGTCTACTATTGTCTACAAGTCTACAATAGATAGTAGATCTACTAGATCTACTCAAACAACTAGATCTGCACCCTCTATTCGACTGTATCCAACAATTTAAATCAAAAGAAATAACAAAAAGAATAAAAAGCTGCAAAAGAGTTCTATGTTTCATTTTTTGATTGCTCATAGCACCTAAAAGAGAGGTAACGAAGAATTTCTTTATGACGAGTAAATTCTTGCTTGATTCAGCTTAAACAATGACTGTATTTGTGAAATTTTTCGTGAAATTGTTAGAAGAATTAGAGTTACAAAGCAGAGAATCACTGGAAAAAAGATCGTTGACAAGATCGTTGACAAGATCGTTGACAAGATCGTTGACAAGATCGTTGACAAGATCGTTGACAAGATCGTTGACAAGATCGTTGACAAGATCGTTGACAAGATCGTTGACAAGATCGTTGACAAGAACGGAATGAACAAGACGAACAAGACGGAGGAACAAGACGTAAAAAACTTTCTCTCGTTTCGATGGGCAATTTCGATCAAACATTTTAGTACATTTCTCTAGAGTTGATTGAAATTTGATTTCGAATTTGATTTATCAATTTTAAATAGCTTTTGGACATTTCTTTACAAAGAGAATTCTATGCTTTTGATTTGATTTTGATTTCTTTTTGATTTTAAGTTCTGAAAAGCAACCAAGCGCCTTTGTAGAGCCTATTTTAATCACTTATGTCACTTTCATTCAACCAGATTTCAGTTATTCAGTGAGTGAATGACGGCTAAACACACTCATAAACTTCTCATCGATAAATACCAAAAATGAAAACCGTTTCACTAAGAAAGTTTGCGCAAATAGTGTTCCTTAAAAAGTGAAAGAGCAAAATCGAGAAAGAAGTTGTTCAAAGAGAGATGAGAGATGAGATGAGAGATGACATTTGCAGACCGTTTTGTAGACATTTGTAGTTTGTGATCGTACCCCATAAAGCCGAGCTTTTTGTGGTGAAAAATGGCTCAAAATTTTTATAGCACAATCCAATTCCCCCTTTATGGCATTGCTAGTTTATAGTTGTACCCACAAAATCCCATTTATTAGCTCTAGTCCCTACCATAAACATGAATATTGTCATCATTCTTTTGGCTTTATTCTTGTTTATTTGTGCGCTAGGTCCATTATTCAAATCGGCTTACATGGAAAATCATCGTACTTTTCGAAAAAAAAAGAAAACTAATTTTGTTTTCACTTTTGAAAGGTCACAAAGAGACATTGCAAAAACCGTGTTTATAAGCAGCCTATAAAAAGAAACACGAGCGAGGGAATAGAGCCAAATATTTTGAAATACCTACAAGCATGTGGTTCTGTTATCTGTTATTAACTTTCGCCATTGCTACAATTGAAGTAGAGGCAGTGGTGGCTAATTGTTGTACAAATAAACCATCGAATGGAACAGCGGCACTCTGTGCCAATGATTGGGGTAAGCTTTTGATTCTGATTTGATTCTGATTCTGAAAATCACTGAAAAATGTGAATTGAAAGTAGATTCATGACCGTGACTGCTGTTTGACTAATTTCATTCAACTTCAGCTACTCGTTCACAAGTTCACTCAGTGAATCGGTTATTCATGTTTGGCCAGAATGTTAACATCATCGCTTTGAAGCATCTCAATGTTATCAAGGTATTTGCTTAAATCAAGGTATTTACTTAAATCAAGGTATTTGCTTATTTATCCAGCCTTAACTTTGATCCGGACAAGACGCTCTTAAATGAGGCCTAAGGAATGAACAAACCTAACACTTAAACCCGATAAACTAAAGAATAGTGAGGCTTCATTAACAGTCTAGTTTTACAATAAACTGTTGCTCAAATTAGTCTTATCAATGCCCAGAAGACTAGTTACTGATAAAAGCCTCTAGCTTTATATTCCAAGGTACCTGCTCTTTTCCAAGCCAGCTTATAATAACGTTTGCTAACGAAGTAACAAACGTTTATCCCCAGCGAACAAAGCAATTGTAGAGCCTTCGTTAATGATTTAATAACGTCTTACAATAAACTCTAGTTGACGATTAAAATACCTAACTTTAGAGTCATCCAAAAAGTCTGGACCCATCTAAAAAAAATATTTTAAGACTTTGTAGCGGTTCTTTTAGTGGAAATGATCTTCTGAAGTCTTCTTGGCATTGATAAGACCAATTTGAGCAGCACTTGTTGAGAAATCATCATTCATACTTATTCCACATGAGCCCATAGAGCAGCCTTGTTGCGAAACTTCTGTCCTTCCAATTTTGCCTACAAACAATCGACTACAAGTGTTCAATGGGGTTAATGAGGCTGTAGGGAGATGGTCAAAGTAATTCAGCTCCATTTTGACGAAACCAGCCCGGCATCGTTACAAAAATCCTCCCCGAATCCAAAAAATCCTCCCCGAGTTGAACATGTTGATCTTTGTCTCGTCACTCCAGAGAACCCTCTTTCAATCGTCTATCATTTGTACTTTGCGATGGTCAATCGCAATCGCCAATGCCTAAAAACCCTCACAGGCTTTCGTGCTGGTCGGTGGGCAAGCAATCGATCCCCCACTAGATCTCATCGTCAGCTACATTTTCCGACCCCACATTGATAGATTCTGATAAGCGGTTCTCGAGATTTCGAGGAATTTAGGCAACGCTCAGGGTGCACTACTATTAGAGAAAATACGGTATAGATTGTTCTCTTTCCAGGGAGACCCTCACCTGCCCATCAATCTCATCTCACCAAACAACAATTGTGGCCTTAAACTTAAGCCCGGTCAAACCTATCTGCTCACTGGTGAGTGGGATCGTTCAAGCCGGCGTTCAAGCCGACGTTCAAGCTCAAGAAACATTAATCAATTTCAGGTCAACGAGGCCATAATATTCCCGGAACAGAGATCTATGCGACTCGATGTTCACAGTACAATCAATTGCAGTCTCCACTTTTGAGCAAGGTAATAGACTAGCTGATAATAGAATAGGTGATAGACTAGCTGGCAATCAAATAGATGATCAAATAGAATCCATTGAACTTTTAGATTCCACCGAAAACCCTCTCTAGTCTCAAATGTAATTAGAGTGAAAGGAACAATTTTATCGTTTTCTCTCAATGTTTTTTTCTTGTATAAACATGGTTTTAATAAAAACTTAATTGAAAAGAAATACAAGTGAAAATAAAACAAAAAAAACTCATCGTTCATAGCATTGAATTGCTTGCTGATTGCTTCATAGCACTGAATTGCTTGCTGATTGCTGATCTATCAAATTCCTCCCGAAATTTTGTCTTGTTTTGTTCTGGTCACAAGAATTTCGGCGAAAAACTGCCTTGCTAGACTAATGGTTGGCAGCCTAGCCAGGTTTTCTTTGTTTTACTCTTTTCTTTTCTTTTCTTTTCTCTCCGATCCTTTTCCTGTACATAAAAGACATGGAATATCCCCTTTGGGGGATAAAATCACTGATCGAATTGACTCAATCCCATTAGCATCGCTCCCTCTGTCTCCTGTAAACCCGTTCTCTGCTTGTTCTTCGCTCTGTCTCCCTACAAATCCTCATCAAATTTAGCCATTCCAAGCCATTCCAAGCCATTCTAAATCCGAGCACTCGCTGTGGATAATTCAAATTTTAATTTAACTTCATTATTTGTTACTCATGCTTGTTCTATTCGTTTTCTTGCTATTAGTCTCTCCTGTTGTCTCGCAAGGAGGATGGAACTTTAATGTAGCCGATATTTTTAGTGAGTTTTGAGGAAAACTTTCTGTTAGAAAGTGTTAGAAAATTATTAGGGAACGGGCTTGAACGATCGCACTCACCAGTGAGCAGATAGGTTTGATCGGGTTTAAGTTTAAGGCCAAAATTGTTGTTTGGTGAGATAAGATCGATGGGCACGAACGTGAGCTTTCGTTTCCGGACCACAAACTAGATCGAGTAAAGAGATTCTTAAGCTGAAATCAAAATCTGCCAAATAAGCTTGAAAACGCGTAAAAATTGAGTTGAAATTTCGAAGATAAGCTTTAAAAAATGCTTTTCAATGGCTTTCAATTGGCATCGGTGGCCTAATGGATAGTGGGACGGCCTGGCCAGTAAAACCCGGGTTCGGTCCCGTTCTTGGTTTTTTTAGTCGCTAGTTACACAGTTTGCTTCGTTTACACAGCTCTACACAATTCTACATAGTTCTACACACTTCTACACACTTCTACACACTTCTACACAGTTCTACACACTTCTACACAGTTCTACACAATTCTACACAGTTCTACACACTTCTACACAGTTCTACACAGTCCTACACAGTTCTACACACTTCTACACAGTTCTACACAATTCTACACAGTTCTACACAATTCTACACAGTTCAAGACACCGAAATTTCAAAATTCTCTTCAACACTCATGGTATATGGCTGGATATTTAAACTTGAAACCAGGAAGATTTCAAACGCCAATGGAATTTGACTTTCCACGAGATATCGACAATAAATCGTGTTCTAAAGTAGGATGCCAACAGAATGCTTTTATCAGATGTTCGAATTGTGAAGAGTTTTTTTTTGTTTTGGATGCTTCGTAATCGTGTTTCATATTTGTTAAGATTTCACCTTTCGCTTTGTTATATTGAATAGTTATAATGCAAAAAATTACATTTAAAGAAAAGCCAAAAACCAAGATCAGACCAAAAACCCGTTCTTACTACTGAGCGGCCGTCCTACTATCCACTAGGCCACCGGCGCATATCGCAGCGATTGAAAAACGCTTTGAAACCTCATCTTGAGTCTTCAATTCAATTTTTACGCGTTTGTAGACTTATTTGGGAGATTTTGTGTTCAGATTATGAATCTCCATACTCGATTTAGTGAGATGTATGTGCTCCGGAAATGAAAGCACACAGGAAGTTCGTGCCTTGCTCTAGTTAATCTTTCATCAACAGACTATAGCGTTGGTCTAACAGCTTCATTTTCTTTTTAGATTAAAAGTGAAGCTATGATTGGAATGTAGACAATGATAGTACAAAACGTAATTACCGATTTCACTAAAAAAATTCTCAAAACTTTTTTCATCAACGGTATGCTTTCCTGAATTCAATCTATTACTTATTAGGGGTTTTAAATAATAGAAAGAGAATAAGAATAAATGAAAGAAACCTTTCCAACCAGAAGCTGAATTTGTATGGTTCGAAATTAACTTTTTTAACGAAACATCTGTCGGTCTTTTTTCCCGTTGGCAATCCAAGGTTTTTCGTGTTTTTCTCAGCATCTACCTTTCTATTTTTACTATTTTAACTATCATTCAATGCAGAATAAAATTGCGCATCGAATGATACCAAAATCAACTCAAAATATAAGATCCATGAAAAGTTATGAGGCAAAAGGTTAAGCCCCGCCGATAATAGACGAGGTTTAGCTTTTTAGCCAACAACTTTGCGTGGATCTTATATTTTGAGTTCATTTTTGTATCATTCGATGCGCAATATTATTCTGCATCGAATGATAATCAAAATAATCAAAATCAATAGGTGGTTTAGCCAACAACTTTACCCAAAAAGAATCGAATTCCATTCGAATTTCCCCAAAAATTCCCTTTCAACTTCCAGCTGCCAAGCCACCAACTTTGGACGACTTTGTGAAGGATTACAACGAGTTCGTCAAGCGCTTCAACAAGAACATCCAACCCGAAGAGTTACCCAATCATTTCAACGAATTCGTGAAGAAAGTCGGCGACATGCCAAGCGATTTCTTCAACGCTCTCACATTGTTGCCCACTGCACTCGCACATGCGAGAATTTTACCGTGAATAAATTCTATACAAATGTTATTTGTTAATAAAAAAAAACTATTCTAGTTTTTGGCCCGTTTTTAAAAAAAAAGATTGACAAAATAGCAAAAAAATCTGTTTTTTTTGAATCAACGGTTGTTGGACTTTAATTTTCTTAAAAAAAATCGCTCCTCAACTCGAACTTTCCATCTTTTCACCCGGAACCATAACTCCAAAAGGGATAATCTTCTCGTTGCCAAGTTTAGTATATCTTTTCTTTTGTCTTTTTTTGAATAAAGAGATCTTGCACACAAATGAAGTCACTCAAGAACAAATCTAGCCAACCAGCCATTGTTCTTTCAGAAATTTGTGATCAAAAGAGAAAGGAAAGATTAAAAAAAACTGAATTTTGTTGAAAGTTGAAAAACTCTTCAAGAAAAAACAGATTTTCTCACGTCGACTCGTTTAGCAGAGCTTTGGTTTTCTGTTTCAGTTAAAATTACGGTCACAAAATGGTGACACCAGGAGCAAGACCGGCTGTCTGTGCCCTGTCGCTTATCGGTTATCTCTGCAATGGAACGTTGATTTATTTGATCAAGAAAAATCCGAATTCACGAATGGGAAACTATCGGTGAGTTGTAGAAGTGATTGGGTCGGATTTAGTCGGATTTGATCGGTCGGATTTGGTCGGTTGGATTTGATCGATGGGATTCGGTCGGTTGGATTCGGTCGGTTGGATTCGGTCGGTTGGATTCGGTTGGTTGGATTCGGTCGGTTGGATTTGGTCGGTTGGATTCGGTTGGTTGGATTTGATCGGTTGGATTCGGTCGGTTGGATTTGATCGGTCGGATTTGGTCGGTTGGATTTGGTCGGTTGGATTTGATCGGTTGGATTTGATCGGTCGGATTTGATCGATGGGATTCGGTCGGTTGGATTCGGTCGGTTGGATTCGGTTGGTTGGATTCGGTTGGTTGGATTCGGTCGGTTGGATTTGGTCGGTTGGATTCGGTTGGTTGGATTTGATCGGTTGGATTCGGTCGGTTGGATTTGATCGGTTGGATTCGGTCGGTTGGATTTGGTCAGTTGGATTCGGTCGGTTGGATTTGATCAGTTAGATTCGGTTGGTTGGATTCGGTCAGTTGGATTTGATCGGTTGGATTTGATCGGTTGGAGTCGGTCCAAAAGGGTTTCCGGTCGACCTGGCTCAACCCAAAGTCCGACAATCCGACTTGACGTCTATCTCTAGTGAATCTAAAGATCTAAGATCTAAAGTCCTCTACCAAATATCTAATCAAATATCAGATATATCAAATATCAAAGTTCATGTGATTAAACTCAGATATCTTATTCTTATGTTGACCATTTTCAACATCGTCTATGCCACCGGCCATTTGGTGGTCTTGCCGGTGAGTGTATCTGGGAAAATTGGCATTGAGTGCTGTTATTAGGTTGTCCCAGAAAAACCCAGAGATTTTCAATTTTATTTATTTTCAACACATATAAACAACAAAGAATCAGAATCAAATGATAAAGTTCGACTGTACATGATAAAGATAACTTTACTTACTTAAAAGGTTTTGTTAGACTAACAGTTAGTTGAACACAGTGTTAAGCTATAATCTAAAAGCAGAAACCCAATCTTTTAGCTCACCTATATGCATGATTTCGGTTGGTGCTTCTACTCGTCGTCATTCCTCAGCGGATACAAATTCGGTGAGTGATAAAATTGATTTCGATTTCTAAAAACCGAACTGTGCTAACAACCGAACGAAGAACTTATGGCCGTGTACCGAATTGAATGCCGAAATGTTTCAGTTGGCTATGCTCTCATCCTTGGCTACTGTTCGATCTTTGCTCAATCCACCATTCTCCTCGCCTATCATTTCATCTATCGATACGCATGTATCTGCAAGTAACACATAGAAGTGTGATCGTGAGTGTTTTCTTTTTCAGAACTGAGTGGCTCGAGGTGATCAACACGAAACGAGCCATTTCTATGGTCATTTTCTGCTACATTCTCTACTTTGGGCTATGGGTGGCAATGGTGCATCTATTTGCCGGTAAGGAAATGGATCTCTTTGAACTAGCCTTTCAAAACATTGACTTTAGGTCCAACCGATGCATTCAATGAGCGAATCGCTATCGGCTTTTATGAGTATTCGGGGCAATGGCCAAATGAGACAGCACTGATTGGAGGATATTATTTGGTGATAAGTCTTACAAATCTTACAGAGGACGGATGATTGGGTCCAGGGGTTTTGGGGATGACATTTTGGTGATGACAAGCTAAATTTCAGTGGGGCAAAGGCGGACAAAAATCGCTGCAAAGCGCCGAAAAATTCTTGGTCTAATTTCTTGATAAAATACGTTTTTATATTTGAGAAATATTGAGAAGACAAATTTTTTTTGGGTCTGATTGGGTCCCGTGGCCTTTTCCGATGTTATATAGGCCATTCGACGCAGAATTTTACACTGACTCCAATGATGTAAACATAGCTGCTGAATGGCAGGTATTCACCGCTAAACTGGGGTAAAAGTTTTGAGCCTCTCCTTTTAAGCTGACTTTTTTCAACAAAAATCGTTCATCGGTGGCCGAGTGGTTGAGTGATCATTCGAGGAACTAAAACAAAGAAAAAACAAAATATACATTGACAAGTTGTTAAATGTTTAACAAGAATGACAAACCACAATCGAATGATGCAAAAAAAAAGCAAGAAAATATGAGACGGCTTTGAACTCTTGTCCCTCAGCTTTCTGTACAACCACTCGGTCACCGATCAACCGTTCGTGCTGAAAAAATCGACTTAAAAGGAGAAGCTCAAAACTTTTATGCCAGTTCGGCGATGATCACCCGCTATTCAGCAGCTATTTTTTACATCATTGGAATCAGCGTAAAATTTTGCATCGAATGGCCTATATATCATCGGAAAAGGCCACGGGATGACCCAATCATCCTTCCCATGTTAAAAATTTAAAAAAAGGCTTTTTTTTGATAGCTAGCAACCTCGATTTTTTAGCTACGAGATAACAACAGTCATTTGCACATCAATTTACGTCCGTGGATCGCGGTGTGTGTTTGCCAGACACAAATGAGTTGTATGTTCGGAGGTGAGTCTACAAGAATGAGACTTTTTATTAGCTTTGCACTAGTTTGTTACTTGAGACAAGAATTAGTTATTTATCTATTATATATAAAAGTGTCTATCTGTCTGTCTACCTGTCCATCTATCTGTCTGTCTGTCTACCTGTCTGTCCATCTGTCTACCTGTCTGTCTGTCTATCCGTCTGTCTATCTGTCTATCTGTCTGTCCATCTATCTGTCCATCTATCTGTCTACCTGTCTGTCTGTCTATCCGTCTGTCTATCTGTCTACCTGTCTGTCTGTCCATCTATCTGTCCGTCTGTACGAGCATTTTCTCAGCCATATTTTGACCAAGAAAACTTCCTTAGAAAACCTTAAAATATATTGTAGTTGTGCCATTTAGAAAAGTCTTCAAAAATCAAATTTTGGTGAAACACCCGGGAATCAAACCCGGACCGTGTGTGCCGTAGACAAGGGTGTCCCCAAGGGCACCAAGGCGACAAAGCATCGAGTCAGAGCCAGGCTGTTAAGCGGGCTTTTCGGCTGGATTGTTTTATGTGGTTTTTCGGTTTTTCGGCTGATCTGGCTATAAAGTTGAATATATACTTGCTGGAATACGGTAGAAGCCAATTGACACACAACCCATCTAGCATTTTAAATGCATTCTGTCTCTAACCAGAGCGTAAAACGTTCGTTTTAGTACTAGCCAGTAATGTCTCTGCTAGTCATTACCGGTTGTGTAAACTTTTACAAGTAAAATTTCAAATTCCTATTATCAAGTGATCCTCTACTGTGGCTGGTCGATGCATCGCAAGTTGAGCTCATCAGAAATGGCATCAGAGAGGGGTTTCCGATTGCAAAAGCAACTTTTCCGAGCCCTACTCATACAGGTATATCGACTAGAATCCATCCATCTAGAAAGATCCACTTAGCAAATCTATTTCAGTTATTCTCTTAATCAAAAATGTTTCAGTTTCTGGTGCCAATCATTCTCGAGTACATCCCATGTGTTGCCGTCTTCTTTCTCCCCTTAACGGGTGGAGATTTCAATCTTGAATGGGCAACTCTCGCCGTCTCATCGTATCCAATTTTCGAGCCACTTGTTGTCATCTATTTTGTCAAGGTTTAGAACTTTATAGAAATAGTATAAACTAGACTTCGGAAAACAAAACTTAACCAAAACCAAAACCACCAAAACCAAAACCATAACAAAACCAAAACCAAAACAAACCAAAACCAAACCAAAACCAAAACAAACCAAAACCAAAACAAAACCAAAACAAACCAAAACCAAAACCAAAACTAACCAAAACTCGCCAATATCTCGCGACTGGGAGGAGCTAGCGAAAATCTGATTGCAGATTTGAAATCAGTGTCCAAAAATCTATCCCATATGCTATTTTTTGTTTCGAAATTTCGAGGTCGTGTTTTGGTCCTTTTTTCCGCCGCGAGATTTTGGGGAGTGAGAAAAAGTGAAAGGTAAATTTGCATTTTACAATTTAAAATTTGCATTTTACAACTTAAAGTTTGCATTTTACAATTTAAAATTAAACATTAAATTAAAACATTAGAATTTGCATTTTACAAAATTTACATTTTAATTTATATGCAAATTGAGTTTTGGTTTTGGTTTTGGTTTTGGTTTTGGTCTGTTTTGGTTTTAGTCTTGTTTGCCGAACTCTAGTATAAACTGTAATATTTAGGAGTATCGAATCACTCTCCATAGAACCATTTTTGGCAATCTCAAAGGTGGCACCGTTTCTCAAACTTTTGAGAAAACCACACAGGTTTAAAATTTGCAATTGGTTCTAGAAAGGTTTTATTGTTGGTTCTATTGTTGGTTCTGTTGTTGGTTCTGTTGTTGGTTCTGTTGTTGGTTCTGTTGTTGGTTCTGTTGTTGGTTCTGTTGTTGGTTCTATTGTTGGTTCTGTTGTTGGTTCTATTGTTGGTTCTGTTGTTGGTTCTGTTGTTGGTTCTGTTGTTGGTTCTATTGTTGGTTCTGTTGTTGGTTCTATTGTTGGTTCTGTTGTTGGTTCTGTTGTTGGTTCTGTTGTTGGTTCTATTGTTGTTGTCTGAGTAACGATTGTTCTGTATTTAAGTAAATTGTGAATGAATGTATCTTTCCAGCAACATCCTCACGATTCTCACACGACAGAAGTGAAACGATCGAAGTTAGCGACATGAAGTCGAACTGAGTCAACCATTTTCTATGTCTTGTACTTTGCTTGAAAGACACTTACAAATAAAAGCTTTTAGCATCACAAATCAATTGAAAACGCATCGATTCAACAACACTAAAAGCCAGATTTGAAAGGAGACAAAAATTTTCGAACTTGATACAATTTTGCTTGAAGCATTTTTAGTAGATTTTATGGGTGGATTCTAAATTTAGTATTGGGTTGATGAATTGAAAACTGCCGAACTTTGAACTAAAATTTATTGAACATAAAACCATAAATTCATTCCAAATAATTTCCATTATTATTGACGACTTCTGCCCATTTAATAACCAAACAACAAAAGAATATCACAATGGATTAAAGCTTCGCATGATTTTTGGATAACTATAATTCTTAATAGAAAAGGTACTCTGATACAAATATGGTAAGTTTTTAATATTAGGGGTTTGCAAAAGAAACTGCGTATTATACGCAACGTTCAAACACCTCGAAAATTAATAATAAAAGACTTTATTCCAAAAGGTACTCGCCAAAATTATCAACTATATTTTTCCATTTTTTACGTAGACTTTGGATGCCTGATTCGAAAGATTCCGGATCTTGTGACGCGAAATAGTCTTGCACCCAAATTTCGACTTCTTGGTAACTGTTAAACTGTTGATTTGCAAGGGAGTGTTGCATAGATCGGAACAAGTGGTAATCTGAGAGAGCGATATCAGGGGAATATGGCGGATGAGGCAGAAGATTCCAGCCTAATTCTTCTATGGTGTTTTGAGCCAAGTTTGATGTGTGTACCCGGAAATTGTGAGCGAGTAAATGGATGGTCCTTGGATTAACACCTCTTTCTCGTAGAATTTCATCAACTTTCTTCAGCTGTTCGGTGTAGGTTTGAGAATTTATAGTTTTTGAAGATTTTCTTAATTCAAAATAAACGATTCCTTTCATATTCCAAAAGACCGAGAGCATAACTTTCTTTCCGTGAAGTTTTGGATGTGATATATCTTTTCTTGATTTCGGTATCTTGAGAAATTTACAAAATAGTAAAAAACGCGCATTCATAACTGGACAACCCAATATAAGAAAAGTATGTAAGTTTTACATTAATCCACCAAACCAGCCACGTTTTTTTCTTCTGTTTGTTTCACTACAAGGTTCAAAGAAGACGCGCCCTTTTTCGACTTTTAAATGAACCAAAATTCTTATCAGTAAAAAGAAAGAATTCTCTTCGCCCATCTGATTTCTGATTTTGGTTTCTTTTGAACGAAAATGCTCCAGATCTCAATATTTACTATAATCTATCTATTCTCTATAGTAAAAAGTGATCAACCAATCGTGATCACAAAGAATGGCGGTATTATGGGGAACTATCAGCCGACGTCGGATGGAACGAGAGTCAGCGAGTTTCTGGGGATCCCATTTGCCGCGCCACCCATCGGGAAGCTGAGATTTGAGGTGATTGCTTAGATTCAAAGCCTTAGATTGCTAGATTGATAGATTGCTTAGATTCAAAGCCAAATAATTCATATTTGATTAGAAGACTTCAAGATTGATTATTTTCTAACGACTTTAGATATTAGTATATGATTTCTTCAGAATGTTTACTTCAGAAACCCCAGCCACCGATCCCATGGACGAAGCCGATCAACGCCACTGCCTATTCGAAGGGGTGTATCCCTTGCACGAGGTTTCATTTTATGATATTATTAGGTGTGTGAAAAAGTAATCGACGTTTTTAACGTTTAAATATAAAAGACCATAAGTTTCGTTAAAATAATTTTTATTCAACGAAGTAATCACCATTCGAAAGAACAACCTTTTGCCGACGTTCTACAAGTAAAGACATTCCACGATAATAAAAATCTTGGTCCTTAGAGGCGAAGAAAAGATGAACCTTTGACAATTTTGATCAATTTTGACATCTTCTTCGGAATTGAACCGTTTATTGGCCAAAAAGTTAGACAGAGACAAAAATAAATAATAATCAGCTGGAGAAAGGTCTGGACTATGAGGTGGATGTGGTAAAACCCCCCATCCAACACTCTGGATTTTTTGTCGAGTCTGTCAAGAGACATGTGGTCGCGCGTTATCATGGAGCAACAGGACACCTTTCCTATTTACGAATGATGCGCGTCTCTCAGTGAGTTTTTGTTGGACTGCATCAATCTCGACACAATAGACATTCGAATTAATCGTTTGGCGACGTGGTAAATAGTCTATGTGCATAATACCACGTGCAGTCCACCAAACTGTCATTAAAATTTTTTTAGGATGGAGGCTTTTTTTGGGCATTGTCCCAGCAGGTTTACCACGTTCCACCCACTGTCCAGACCTTCTAGAATTATCGTAATCAACCCATTTTTCATCACACGTAACAATTCGATCAATAGATGGCTCAAGTTGATGTTTACTAATCAAAGAATTGGCGATTGTAAGGCGCATTGTTTTGTTTTCTTCGCTCAATTCATGCGGTATCCATTTGTCGAACTTTTTGATAAAATTCATGGCATTCAAGCGTTTCCTTACGGTTGACCCATCAAAATTTAATGTAAAGCCTATTTCTGAAGAGGTTGAACGAGGGTTTTCGAGAAGACGCTTTCGAGAAGCGTCTTATTTGGTCATTAGATAAAAATAAAAAACGTGGATTACTTTTTCACACACCTAATACATTCTTAGCTTTCTAAAGCGAATCTTTTTCTCAAAAATCTCAAAATTCTTATCAGACTATTTAGCTGAAAATTTCCAACCAATAAAACCCTAAAAGACTTGCTAAAAACGCGCGGGAATGATAGTTAAAAGAAGCCGGGGAAACCCGGTCATGAATCTTTCTCAAATGTACCAAAGTCGACCACCATTATTTCAAGTCAATGATTGTATTGAATGACGAGAAAAATCTAGAAGAACAAGCATAAGATTGTCATTGTTTGATCTCGTTTTCCCCTCCTCATTCCTCGATCAGAAGGGAAACCTCCACTTAAAACTGTTTGAGCAGTCTTGACCTCAAAAACGACAAGTATTCCGGCTATTTAGAATCGTTTTTTCTCTACATTTTTAGATATTTCGTGCTTTCACTGTTCAGCAGCTAAAAATAAAAAACGTGGATTACTTTTCACACACCTAATATAATGGCAAATAATGTATATTTTATAATATTATAGCAGCATATAATAAAATTATAATAATATCTGTGACATTTAATCAAAGTTCACTAATGTTTTATGCCCGTTTTAGTGCCGGCGTTTCGCGAGACACGGTCAGCGAGGATTGCCTCTATTTGAATGTCTGGAGCCCGAATTTGCAGGTGTGAATCTAAAATCGAATAAAAAAAATTGTTGACATATAGTAAATATATTAAAGATTGTCGATATATGGCCAACATTCAGGGTCTTCTGCCCGTTTTCCTCTTCATCCACGGTGGAGCCTATGAGACTGGCGCGGCGTCTGTTTACGATGCGAAAGCTTTCAGAGAGGTGTATAATATCTTTCTCGATATCTTTCTCGATTCTAATATATTTCTCCTAGAATTTTGCTCGACGTGGCATCGTTGTGGTGACAATTCAATACCGGCTCGGGCAATTCGGCTTCTTGACGCTAAACGACTCGGTGATCACCCCGAACCTCGGGCTCTGGGATCAAACGCTCGGCCTTCAATGGATACAGGATAATATTGGGAAATTCGGAGGTGCATGAAGCTTATATAATATACAGTCGAACCTCTCTATAACGAACCTCGATATAACGTAAACCTCTCTATAACGTAAGGCGTGACCGGTCCCGGCCGACGTTAAGCTATATAAAACGGCACTCTATATAACGTAAACCTCTATATAACATAAGCTATAGCCGTCCCGTGAGTTACGTTATAGAGAGGTTCCACTGTATATATGTCGTAGCCGTTTACGAAATTCAGCCGCTAACGAATGAGGGTATTTCCGGGCATCAAATCAAAAAAGTCACAGTCAGTCAAAAATTTTCTACTGAGCCAAAAAACTTGCTTAATAGCTCATTTTGTAGCCAATTTGATGTAGTTTCTTAAAGTAAAGCCATCTAAAACAATTTTTCGTTGAAAGTAGGAGAAAGGGGGCGAGGAACAAATTCAGGGCAATTCTCAAATGTGAAAACAGCGACCGAGTTCAATTGAAGTCGTTGCTCACCCTCTTTCTCCTAGCTTTGAAAAACAAATGTTCAATGTAGGTTTACTTTAAGAAACTACATCAAATTGGCTACAAAATGAGCTATTACGCAAGTTTTTTGGCTGAGTAGAAAATTTTTTGACTGACTGTGACTTTTGATTGGATGCCCGGAAATACCCTCATTCGTTAGGGGCTGAATTTCGTAAACGGCTACGACATATATATGTATATTTGTGTAGTTTAATAAATATACTAATATAAACTCTTTAAGGCGACAGCAAACGGGTGACGATTATGGGGGAATCGGCCGGCTCCGAGTCCGTCAGTCAGCTGACCATATCGCCGAAGACACAACGTGGGTATTTTCAGTGATCTGCTGAGAAAAGATACTACCGTAAATACTGTAATAGTACCCCACCTCCCTCGTACAGTCGCGTAGTCGCAAGTTTAGTCGCGTAGTCGCTTAGGGTTTTAGTATTTCATTTTTTTCAAAGCACCCGTACTTTCAAAAAATGCGTCTTTGGTATCAAAAAATAGCCCTGAATTTCAGCTATTTTTTGATAATTGTATTGCTATTGTAGCACAAACCAGTGTCGAGAAAAACGCGTCCAAAGCTAGACTACGCAACGCTCCGCAACGCAACGCAGATTACTACGCAACGCTCCGCACCGTCATTATGGGGGTGGGGTACTATTACAGTATTTACGGTAGGACTATAAATACGACTATCAGTAAATATTATAGAATCGAATTTAATATAATGTAGAGCTGAAAAACTCTTCAGACCTCTTCCAACAAGCCATCCAGATGAGCGGAACGTCGATTGGAGCCGCCGCTCGAGGGACAAATACTTTGGTTGGTCTTATCACACGGACGCAATACTTATCCATCCACTTTTTGCCGTAATACTTATCCATTTGTCCACGAGATGGCGTAGTAGAATCGACAGGAAATTGTTTCTTCGGCATTTCGTTTAATCAAACGTTTAATCAATCAATCAGGCCGATCATTTCTGCGCCAATTCGTTGTTCAATTTGTTTTTTATTTAATTTCAATCTAAAACCTATACAGTAATACAGTAATACAGATAATATTTGATATCAGAAGCATAATATCAGACTTAATGCACATACAGATGCAATTAGAGTTCGGCAAACAAAACCAAAACCAAAACAGATCAAAACAGACCAAAACAGACCAAAACCAGAACCAAAACCAAAACCAAAACACCAAAACAAACCAAAGCTCAATTTGCATATAAATTAACATGTAAATTAACATGTAAATTTAAAATTGTAAAATGCAAATTTGCCTTCCACTTTTTCTCACTCCAACTACCATTGTCTAACAAGTGCTATTTGGATATTTCTGAATGATTGAATCAAAAAGCACACCGACAACCGTTGATTCCCCTTTTTAACCCCATTTTTTTGATAAACAGCCGCCAATCGATTTGAAGTGATTCCTCACTGTGAGTCAAGCACTTCACTGTAGCGATAGACAATATTTGCCAAGTCTTTGTTTATTGGTTGCAAATTGTGACAACCACTGATTAAAGATACTGTAAGAGCAGTAGTGAAATTGAAATGTAGTAGTAAAATTTTGAAAAAATACATGGTGTTTTGATGGATTCCGAGTCAAAAGGACGTGAACTCGGAAAACTTCAAATTTGACTCGGTAATCTCGATCATTTCTTCCAATAAAACTTCTCACTTCACAAAATCTCGCGGCCGAAAAAAGGACCAAAACACGACCTCGAAATTTCGAAACAAAAAATAGCCTATGGGATAGATTTTTGGATGCTGATTTCAAATCTGCAAACAGATTTTCGCTAGCTCCTCCCAGTCGCGAGATATTGGCGAGTTTTGGTTAGTTATGGTTTTGGTTTTGGTTTTGTTATGGTTTTGGTTTTGGTTTTGTTATGGTTTTGGCTTTTGGTGGTTTTGGTTTTGGTTAAGTTTTGTTTTCCGAAGTCTAGATGCAATATACAAAGACAAATTGTGTATTAATTGCCTTCTAGACTTTTTCTGCAAACTGGACGAGCAGACTTGGCTGTGATTTGAAGTCCGACTACAAAACGTTTGTCGTTTGTCATTTTTGAGTTATCAATCGTTTATTTGGCTGACATTGATATCGGAATATGACTTTTGAAAATTATAATCATCAGTTTTCTGATTATCCACATATTTTGCGCTTTCTTAAGCGTAGTGCATTTTCGGTTCGTTCGCCGATAGATGCACAACGAAAATTCACGTCTTAAGGCCCTTAAAATCGACTTTTTCAAACGTTTTTTTCACCATTAGATAGAGCTTGTAAGCTTGAGCTTGTAAAATGCTATCTAACGGTAAAAAAAAACCTTGAACTTTTTTGCTATAGAGAATATGCTATAGAGAATAGATCGACTATAGTAAATATTGAGATCTGGAGCATTTTCGTTCAAAAAAACCAAAATCAGAAATCATTTGGGGAAAAGGCGATTCTTTCTTTGGGGAAGAGGCGATTCACTGATAAGAATTTTGGGTCATTTAAAAGTCGAAAAAGGGCGCCTCTTCTTTGAACTTTGAAACACTAAAAAATATGAAGAAAAATGGAACTAGAGTCATTCAAAAATTTCCATTAATATTGACGACTTCTGCCCATTTTACAGGCAATTTGCGGATTCCTCTTTCGTAGTAGGATTTTGGTTTGTGTGTGAGACAAGTGTGAGACTCAAAAATGGAGGACTGGAGATGGAGACTGGAGATCCCAGTTTGAGCACTTTCTTCAAAAGAAACCCATTTTGGTGTCAATGGAAAAGTTGTAGAGAATCAAAAATCAAGCTTATATCCTAATTTTCAAAAAGATACGCTTAGTAGTTTCGCTTAAAATGCAAGTTTTGTGAAAATTTGGCATTTCTTTCTTAAATTTGACATTTCTTGAAAGCCAGTTTTTGAATCGTTCTGGAAATTTGGATATAAGCTTGATTTTTGATTCTCTACAACTTTTCCATTGACACCAAAATGGGTTTCTTTTGAAGAAAGTGCTCAAACTGGGATCTCCAGTCTCCATCTCCAGTCCTCCATTTTTGAGTCTCACACTTGTCTCACACACAAACAATAGCCGGCAGTTTTCAATTCACCAACCCAATAACTTCGACGACTTATCCCCTACTGATTTTCAAAAATTACTTATTCCTTATACGCGTCTCTAAAATTAAGCGGCTAGACTTTAACGGTTAGACTCAAAATCCAGAGATTGAAGCAAAAAACCCAAAAAAATGTAAGGAAGCACTGTCTTATTGGCAAATCTTCCGAAATGAATGTTTTCCGAATTGAGTTTTCTGAAAGGAGATTTCTGAAAGGAGATTTCCGAAATCAACGTCAGCCATTTATTTAGCTGTCTGCAAGGAAAAACTGTCGAAGAGTTCTGGAAAGTGAAGGAAAATAACGCTTGGGTTTGTTTTTTAAGAGAATGTTCATCAAAGGCGGCAACAAATCGAATTCAGGGCTGCGGACCTGACGACCTGAATTGGCTGGGATTCGCTCCGATCATCGATGAGGATTTCTTCCCGAAGGTCAGAAGCTAAATAGATTCGACAGATAAATGAGCTAAATATGAGTTCTATGTTCTATTTTTTTTTTCTTTTCTATCGAAGATAGTCAATCAATCTTCGGTTTTCAGCCAGAAGATGCTCTAAAGACCGTGCCCAAGTATCCGACGATTTTCGGGTTGAATCAAGTGGAGGGACGACTTTTCTGTGAGTTGTTTGCTTTAAATTAAACTAAAACTTAGAAAGACCATAGGTGATTATATTTGGGACCATACTTGGTTCATAATTTGACCGTATCTGGTTCATAATCTCTTAACATGGCTCTTGTTTGACCCTTAACCTCGTCTTACCGATGACGTCGGGCCTAGCATACTCTAATTTACTCTTTTCGACTTTTATCTTTTAGATTCTATTGAAATATTGATGAAACTCTGTTTTAGTCTATTTATTTTGTTATATTTTGTTATATTTTGTGTCTTATAGCCCTCGAAGGAGCGAGCATCTACATGTCTTTTGGGCTCGGCCCGCTGAAATGGCCCAAGTACAATGAGAGTCAATTCGTGGATTTTGTCAAGAAATTCATCACTTTTAAGGTTTTTTTTTGTGACAAGTTTCAGCTCTCCTTATACAGGGTGGAGCAAAACTATGAAAACAACTTTAAGTCATGTTTTTAACCCATTCGAAACCGTAGCGTTTTTTCTTTTTTTCGTCTGCGGACCAAGCCTTTTTTTTGACATTTTTGACTCTGAAGCAGTTTATCCAGATGGTTGGAAAGATTTTAGAGAGTCTCCTACACCATTTATTTTTGATGAAGAACGATTTGGATTTGACTTCAGTACTTTTTCAAAGATCCTATCGATTATTATTCGTCGTATCTATCGCATATCTATCTATCTATCTATCTATCTATCGTCGTATCATTCCATAATTCTAGGGATACACGTCCGACGAAAGAGATCAGGCAACTCAGGACATTCTGAGCTATTACGAGCGAGGTCACGACCCGAGTGACGCAAGTACTGGGTGGAGAGATATGTTGAGGCGAGGATTGTGAATTCGTGACTAATTGTGACTAAATTATGATTTTAACTTTATTTTAACCATAAAAGAAACAAGTTTTTTCTTTTTTCACAAAGTTTACATTAACTAACAGAACTTTTCTTGAGAACTAAGAGATTAACTAACAGAACTTTTCTTGCAGAGCTATTCGGATTGGGGGATGAATGTGCCGGTGGTCCGGGAAGCCATCGCGAAAACCCAAGCCGGCAGCCCGGTGTACGCCTTTTTGATGGACTACGACAATCCGACCACGTGGCCTGCAGGCGCTCCGGCACCAGGTTTGTCAAAAATTTTCGTAGTTATCAGATACTTTCTTCTCTTATAGGTTGTTCTTGACGTAATTTGATGTTTCATTTCTCCCTGACTGAAAGTTTAGGCTCAACGCATTCTAGCGAGTTCCCGTACACGTTCGGAATGTTGGCCGACTTCAACTATACGCAAGATGATCTGACAGTCGAGAAATACATTCAAGATGCCCTCGTGCAGTTCATTAAAACCGGGTATCTCAGGGAATTTTTTTAAGAAATATATGTCGTAGCCGATTATGAATGAAATTTTTTGGTAAATCTTTCTAGTAGAGCAACCCTTTAATGTATGAGGACAATATTATATCATCCTGTAGCGAATTAAATTCTGCTTCGATTGGTACCAAATTTGTGAGTTTAGGTTAAAAATTACCGGCGCTACAACGTTTCATTCAAAATCGGCGCGACCCCCGTAGCCGATTATGAATGAGTGGGTCTAGGAGCGTCCAACTATCAAGTATTTGGGTCTAGTAGCGTCTAGGAGCGTCCAACCATCAAGTATTTGGTATCATTCAACGCAGAATCATTAATAATTATGTTAAATTTTTTAAATTAGACAGATTGGATAAAAAGAAAAAAAATTAGAGCAAAAAACTGTTTGTTCATGAGGAAACTTTGAGGTCCCATAATTTTTTTTCTTTTTATCAAATCTTTCTAATTTTGAAAATTTAACATAATTATTAATGATTCTGCGTTGAATGATACCAAATACTTGATGGTTGAACGCTCCTAGACGCTCCTAGACCTAAATACTTGATAGTTGGACGCTCCTAGACGCTACTAGACCCAAATACTTGATGGTTGGACGCTCCTAGACGCTACTAGACCCAAATACTTGATGGTTGGACGCTCCTAGACGCTCCTAGACCTAAATACTTGATAGTTGGACGCTCCTAGACGCTACTAGACCCAAATACTTGATGGTTGGACGCTCCTAGACGCTACTAGACCCAAATACTTGATAGTTGGACGCTCCTAGACGCTACTAGACCCAAATACTTGATGGCTGGACGCTCCTAGACGCTACTAGACCCAAATACTTGATGGTTGGACGCTCCTAGACGCTACTAGACCCAAATACTTGGTGGTTGGACGCTCCTAGACGCTACTAGACCCAAATACTTGGTGGTTGGACGCTCCTAGACGCTACTAGACCCAAATACTTGATAGTTGGACGCTCCTAGACCCACTCATTCATAATCGGCTGAAATTCATAATCAGCTACGGGGGTCCCGCCGATTTTGAATGAAACGTTGTAGCGCCGGCAATTTTTAACCTAAACTCACAAATTTGGTACCAGTCGACGCAGAATTTAATTCGCTACAGGATGATATAATATTGTCCTCATACATTAAAGGGTTGCTCTACTAGAAAGATTTACCAAAAAATTTCATTCATAATTGGCTACGACATATACATTGTAGAAAAAGAATGAGAACACGAACAACAGTTCAGCGTAAACAACATTTGTTAGCGACGTGAATAGCACTTCAGCCTTCAGCTTCAGCCAACCAAGATTTCTTCTCACTTTTCTTGATGAAGATATACACATTTTTAAAAAACAATGAAAAGAAAAGAGATTTCTCGTGGACGACACTAGTAGATTCTATCGGAAACGATTCCACGAGGGAAAAAAACGCTGTTTTTTTCGATTTCTTCTTCATCTAATTTGCCCAATCTCTAAATTTGGCTCCATATTTCTCTAAATTTGGTTCCTTATCTCTAGTTCGTTGTTTCGACTTTCACTATGTTTAGAAATCCATCAACGACTGCGATGCCATGGGCTCCGTTCTCGCTCGAGAATCACGACTTTTTTGAGTCTAAAGCCAAAACCTGAGATGAAGACAGGCAAGGAAAACTTTCCTAAAGGAAAACAACTGTAATATCTCAATTCCAGACTGGTTTGGTGATAGTTATCGCTTTTGGACGGATTACATGAAGAAATACAAATATGACTGGATCACTTATGGGCCCTGGTAGCCCGTTGTAGTTATGACTTTGTGAATAAACTATCTTTTTTGTTTTTATTCAAAAGAAGAGCTTTGCTTTGCTTTGCTTGCCGATTCGACAAGAACGATCACAAGAAAAAATCAACCAAGATTTCTTCTCACTTTTCTTGATGAAGATATACATATTTTTTAAAAACAATGAAAAGAAAAGAGATTTCTCGTGGACGACACTAGTACAGTTCAAATCGATATTCTGACTTTATTTCACCTAGTCTACACTTTATTTCACCTTTCACTAGCACATCGATTTCACGCAAAAAAATTGAAATGGTAAAATGGTAAAATATTTTTGTAAACTAAATTTTTGTAAAATAGGACCCGTATTGGAACCGTATTGGAGCAAAATAGGAACCGTATTGGAACCGTATTAGATCAAAATAGGGACCATATTGGAACCGTATTAGATCAAAATAGGGACCGTATTGGAACCGTATTGGATCAAAATAGGGACCGTATTGGAACCGTATTAGATCAAAATAGGAACCGTATTGGAACCGTATTGGAACCGTATTGGAACCGTATTGAAACCGTATTGGAACCGTATTTACAAGTAAAATACAAGTAGCGTTTTTTTAAATTATCCATAAGTTTTCCCTGAGTCCCGAAAACGCTTTGTATGCAAGTTGCTGCAGTTTTTATGTGGAAAAAAAGCGAATCATGCTTTAAATGAAGCTTTTGCAACCCGTATTGGTTTATTTGCAAAACTACTTACAAGGAAACGCCCCAAAAATGGTGACTTTTAAATGGCGATGAGATGTAAACGCCTATCGGACATGACGAGACCATGACGAGACGAACTTTCGCCTACGCGCCCTGGTTTTCGAGAAAAACGCATGCAAAGTTTCGACCATTTTCAGCAAACTCTCACCTCACCTATAAGAGGGTGCCACACCAAAATGAACAGAGGTAGTGGCGGTCTAGTGCTTTAGACTATTAGACTAGTGCCATTTTTGCTTGCTTCATTTTCTTATTTTCTCTTGTTTTTTTATGTTTTAATAATAGTATGTTTTATAAATGATTTCTCAGAAACAAAAGGCATCCATTATTTGCTCATTTCATTCGTTTTCGTACAAATTTGAGTCGCAAGGTATAGAAAATTTATCGCTAACTTGTCGATAATTTATCCATAATCTTCAGATTCAGCTCATATCAACTCCTTCATTGTAGATTTGAGCTTGATCCATGAAGTAAGACTCGACCGAGCAAAGATCCTGACCGGCCCATATCTGGAAATAGGCTTTGTATCTGGAAATAGGCTTTGTATCTGGAAATAGGCTTTGTATCTAGAAATAGTCTGTGCATCTGGAAATAGTCTGTGCATCTAGAAACAGACATTGTCTTTGGAAATCGATTTTGTATCTGGAAACAGACTTTGTCTCTGGAAATAGACTCTAGAAATAACTTATCTGTAAATAGACTCTGGCAATACCTAGGGTTTACAAAAAACTCTTGAATACTTAAAAGACTTTGAATTACCCTAGCATAGCCATCTTCTCCCAGCTTGTGCCCCACGAGTTCCGCACGATCCAATACGGATAATCGTCCTCCACTCCTGAAAGTCGTACTTTATCCAAGCTTATTTATAAGGAAACCAAAAATTTTCTTTACCATAACCCGTTATGACCATCGCATGTAAGAAAACGAAAGATTTGCTGTTCTTACCGTATCCCGTTATGACCATCGCATGTCCTCCCAATCCAGACAAATCCTCGCAGCTTGTGTCGAAAATCCCTCCATCGTAGTACATGAAGTTCCAATTTATGTACATTCCTGAAATCATTTGATCTTTCCTGAAATCATTTCATCTCTTTGTTAGCTTATAAACTTTGTTTTTAAGATTCTATAGTCAATAGGACTCCAAATTTACCGACCGACAGCAATGGGACCATCATTGACAATCGCTCTCTTCACAGTGTCCATATCAAAGGGTAAAAGATCGGTGACTGACGAGACTGATAGTCGCTGTTTAAACTGAAAATGTTTGAGGTAGGCTGGTTGCGAAAAAAAAGAAAGCTGACCGAGTAACAGCGGAGGTCACCACTTGGATCGTATGGCGAGTCGGACTCCAGCCCGATACCATCGTCCATATAGTGGCTAAAACGGAAGCTTTATTTGGAAATCTTTACTTGGAAATCTTTACTTGGAAATCTTTACTTTATAGCGTTCAATTTTTCTCTCTGAATTCAATGAGTAAGGGAGTAAATAATAGCCAAATACGGCATTCCCTCTATTAGAATTGCGCCATATTATTTTTTTCAACCGCAATACAGCTAAAGAGTTCTATCATTAGGAAAGATAAAAGATTTGTTCCATAACAATTTTTGCAAAAAAGAGCAACTTTCTACATTCATTTATTTGTTGTTATACACTTTGCACAGCAAATTTTCGATACCGTATTTTCTCTAGAGCGCCAGGCTCTCCTAGAGGCGCCATGGTAAAGGGATATCGAAAAATAGAATACCATGGCTCTAATACAGAATATAGCTAGTCCTGCTGAGCTCTCCTAGAGGGCGCTAGGCTCTCCTAGAGGGCGCTAGGCTCTCCTAGAGGGCGCTAGGCTCTCCTAGGAGGGCGCTAGGCTCTCCTAGAGGGCGCTAGGCTCTCCTAGAGGGCGCTAGGCTCTCCTAGAGGGCGCTAGGCTCTCCTAGAGGGCGCTAGGCTCTCCTAGAGGGCGCTAGGCTCTCCTAGAGGGCGCCAGGGTAAAGGGATATCGAAAAATAGAACACCATGGCTCTAATACAGAATATACGGTAAGTGTTTTTGCTAACTTTTTCAAATGAAGAATAGCTAACAAATAAAGAAAAAGAAAACCCAGAACTTTTGCTTGCTTGAACACTTTTACAATTTCACGTAAACACAAAGATATTCAGTCAACAAAGGTTTAGATATAAAACGAGTAGAATAAATGCAAATTTTCAGGTGCAATACTATTCGAGAGAAAACGGTAATAGTAAATAGTGAGTAGATATTCAAAATAGTGCGTTTAAACTCACTTGAAAGCGACGCTTGGAAAGCCGCCCTTGCAGATCGTTTTTTTGTTCGGATAGACGCAAGTCATTTGCTTAAAATATCAGAAAATTGAATAGCAAATGAAATAAAACTAATTTAGTAATGTTACCTGTTCAGATAAATCGATGATCTCGTTGTTCTCACGAGCATACTGAATCTCCATGCAAGCGGCGGTGCTGAAAATTTACGTACAAATGGCTTTTTGTCCAAAGAAGTGACAAGGTTTTATTGAAGATTTACTGTATTACTGTATCACTATATCACTGTATCACTGTATCACTGTACTACGTTGAAATTCTCCAAACAAAAACTCCTCACGCGAACGCCCAACAGCTGCCACAGCTTCCTTGATTCTTCACCTCTGGCACCACATCTTTGTCTCTCCAATCGAAAGATTCGGGAAGCTCCTGAAAAGTTGAGTGATTGCCTAGATAAACGCGATCGTAACTGAAAGAAATCTTAGCCCTACATCATCACTGCTTTCCTCTTCATCATCTCTTCGTTTTCTCGTATTTTCTTGTTTCTTCACAAAGCGTTTCGCTGACTTTAAAGCAGCAAGCTGAAAAGTTGAAATGAAAAAGTTCTGTTTTTTATTGTTTTTATAAAGATAATCAATCAAATCAATCAAATCAACCAATCAATCAACCAATCAATCAATCAATCAATCAATCAATCAATCAATCAAATCAATCAAATCAATCAATCAATCAATCAATCAATCAACCAATGAATCAATCAAATCAATCAACCAATCAATCAATTAAATCAAATCACCTGTTCGCTCCTTTATGAAGGCTAGAGCCGGTCTGATTCGCGTCTCTCTTGTGTCTTGGTGGTTTATCTTTCAATGGGATGAGAGTCTGAAAAAGTTGTTAACGCAATTTATTGAGTAGCGAGAATGGAATGGCGTCGAAAGTAAAAGAAATTTCTAAAATTTATAAACTGTGTCTTTGTCAAATGTCAAATGTCAAACTTTGTCAAATGATACGCGTTTGATGGAAAGATTAACTAATTCTCTACAAAATCACATTTAAAAGAAAAATTCAAACAGCGCCTCAACTCGACAAAAGGCGACAAATCTATAAATTGTCATCTAGAGAAAACGGTTGAAGGGATCTTTCTGAAAATTTGACAACTTATGTAATTGAGTGTGCTCTATCTTTATTATATAGATACCAAAAGAGGTTTATCTGGAAGAAACTGTTCAAACGATGAGTCGAACTCTTTCCCATTTAGACTAGCGGTGTTTCGAAACGAAAGAAAAGCCACGAAAGAAAAGCCACGAAAAGCAAAGCTTTGCGGAATCTCTCAAAAGTGATTTTGTAGAGGAATCGTAGACGCTTTTGATGAAACAAAACGTGTATTTAAAGAAGGCTTTATGCGTGCAAAAAGTGTCTTTAAAGTTCGCCGCCATTTCATTCTCTTCAACCTAATAATTAAGAGCTAAAGTCTCCCTCTTCATTCCGGCATTCCGGCAGGTGCATTCCGGCATTCCGGATGCATTTCGACTTTGTAGTAAAGATCTTTCTTCAGCAAGTCTCTCAAATAGCCATTGCTTTGCTTTTTGCTTTCAAAAAGCTTTATGGAATCTCTCAAAAGTGATTTTGTAGAGGAATCGTGAAGCCTTTTTGATGAAACATTTAAAAGAAGGCTTTATGGGTGCAAAATGTGTTATTAATTAATTATAATAATTCGGTGCACTCACAGCTAAAGTCTCCTCTTCGTCGAGGTCCATATAGGGATGCATTCCGACTTTGTAGTAGAGATTTTTCTTCAGCAAGTCTTTCAAATAGCCATTGTTCGAGACGAAATTTGTTGCCGCTTTGTCGCCATTTGATCTGCTGATCTTTTTCGCGTATCTAAATATGATAGAAAAGAGTGTTTCTTTGAAGTTTTGTATTTCTTTGAGAGTTCTGTGGTCTTCTGAATTTCATTAGCGACTTCATCAGCTAGTTTTTAGCTTATATTCAAGTCTGAAGATGGCTGACTAGTGAGAGCAATCTAAGGTATAATTTCTATATAATAATAGTCAATCTGCGCGCACTGGCCGACTGGTTAGCGTCCTGGCACCGAGCGCAAGAGGACCGAGCGCAAGAGGACCGAGCGCAAGAGGACCGAGCGCAAGAGGACCGAGCGCAAGAGGACCGAGCGCAAGAGGACCGAGCGCAAGAGGACCGAGCGCAAGAGGACCGAGCGCAAGAGGACCGAGCGCAAGAGGACCGAGCGCAAGAGGACCGAGCGCAAGAGGACCGAGCGCAAGAGGACTAAGGTTCAAATCTGCATCCGAATAATTCTGCTTTCTTACCAGTTTTTTTCTATGAACATCCCGAATCCTGAAAACCATTGATTATAAATTTTCTTCCCCTTCCCCTGGGCGTCATTATGCTCAAATTTCAAACGTTTAACCTCAAAAATGAGGCAATTTTGGCCAATTTTGAGCAATCTCTGATCCACTCTCAACTAGTCAGACTAAATACAAGTTGATGTATGATAAAAACTTTAAGTATTTTGCGGCGGAAAGGCTATTGATCTGAGGGTCGCTGGTTCGACTTCCACCGGTGACAATATTTTTCAAAAATTTTTGCTAACATTCTGAAAATGCGTGTCTAGGGGTTATTTTTGACGCTGATCACGAAACACATGGTTTTAGCCTATGTTTCTGCACGGAAAACTAACGAAACGTGAAAACAGCCATTTTTTGGTCCTGCCGCCCTTTACTAAAGCAGCTGTAAAAACTTTTCGAAAAGAGATATCTCAAAAACGGTTTTTACCAATCGATCCGTCTTGAATTCAGCTTTAGGATGGCTATAAAACGTCAAAATTGGACAAATTTAAGGTACTCTCCCAAAAAATCGGAAAGGACTTTTCCATCAACCCAATAATTCAGAAGAAATTCAAGAACAGAAAGAGTTTTGCCAGTTTTTGCCACTCGGTGTTGACTGACGTTTTTCCGAAAGTCACGAAGTCGCTTTTGTGAGAGCCGAGAATGGACAGGACACTGGCGGGCAGGTTTGTGAAGTCGAGATAGGTGATCTGAAGAAGAGAAAGAATGAGAAAGAGAAATCGACTTATAAAGTAATGAATAAATCTGATTTTGGAACATTTGCAACATTTGCAACATTTGCAACATTTGCAACAACACCTCCTCACCTCTGTATGGATATCTTTCGTGTTCTCGGTGTCGATCTCGATCTTGATGTGCTGCTTCGAGTTCGAGTGAATGTTCTGCAGAATGTTCATCAGATGCCCGGAGATACCACCTTGCGGTTTCGGCTCGGCATTGATCGAAAAAACGAAGGCTAACAGCCAAAGCAACATGATGTCTGCGGTGAACAACTGTTTTATTGGGTGCGTTCAGTTAAAAGTTGACCTTGAAAAAAGCGATAAGACTTTTCGTTTGTCGATCTTTTTTGATCCGCGTTTTTGATCCGTTTAAAATAAATGCGTCTCTCCAAGTTCGCCAAAAAAACTGTTTCTCACTGGTAGTACATTTGAGAGAAATTTCCGGGTTTCAGTGCTCAACTGGGAATCACGAGGATCACCGGCCGCACTTCTTGTGAGCTTCGTTTGACTGACAAATTGTACTTTCATATCTTCAAGGTTTAGATGGTTAAAAGTAGAGTAAAAAAATTGTGTAACCGTTTGAAATTTAAGAAACTTTTACAAGTTTTATTATAGAGAGAATCTACATCAGAACTTTTCACCCACTCTGTATTCTTATCAGTCAATAGTCATTAGAAAAGGGAATATTGCGTTGGGTAGAGAGGATTTGGAATTCTGATGCAAATGAAAACTTCTTGGTGATTAGAAAAGGGAATATTGCGTTGGGTAAGAGATGAGCAGAATATCAGAGAATGTTGTTATCAGAATATCAGAGAATGCAGAAATCAGAGATGTTTTGCCTATTGTTTATGTGCATCACTGTAGTGTGCTTTGCCGATTTCAACACAGTCTCGATCAATTAGCGTGTCTGAGCGGCTTTCTCGAGTTTCCCCAAGGCTACAAATACCTTTGTTCCTACAGTGACGGTTTATTTCAATAACGTTTTTGTTGGAAAGAGAAAACTTGGCTTTTAAGAAGGTTTTTGGATGAGTTGCCCCTGATTTGAAGGCTCAACTTCTTCACAAGGACATTGCATTTGCTTTATATAGTTTTGTAGAGAAGGTGTAAGGCTTAAAAGATGTAAGGCTTTGTAAGACTGCCTAAAAGATCAAACATTCAGCAGACCAGTTATGAGAGTTTCAAGAAACACGATGTTGATTCTATTTTATTTGCAGAGTTGCGTTGTTGACCAATCAAAGCTTTTTGGGAATGATTTTAAAGGCAGAACTTCCCAGCTTTCATGTTTTCATTTTGAATGAATTGAAAAAGCATTGCTAACGTTCATTATTGCTTAATCAGTGACTTTTCTTGCGTTTTCTTGCATTGATTCTCGCATTGTGCAGCTCGATTGAAGTCGGCGACTTTAACGGTAATCAAATATTGCTTGTTTTGACGATTGAATGTTTTTAATTGGTTGTTACCTAAAGGTTTTATTTCTACGAACTATTTCATCAATTTTTAGTCATTGAAAAATAAAAGCACAGCCTCCAATAGAAGCAATTTTGTGAAATGATTGAAAAATAGAATAAATAGAATAAATAGAATCTATTAGAATGGAATTTCTATTAGAATAAATACGGTAATTTGTGGTTTAAGAGCTTGGTGTCCTTTTCAACCCATTAAAGAATCCATTTTAGCTGAACCCGTATGATATTCTTGATCAATTGTCGCCCTAACTGGGTTCCAGAGCTCAATGAATGAAAGCATTGATTGAACTCAAATGTAAAACACGAAAATTTTGAATAAGAGAACAATTTTGAGTTATCGATCTGCTTTTCAGGCTTGATTTAAGGTGTACTTTGTGGCCAGCTCTTGCAATATGAATTCAGAAAAAGATTTTTGAAATGAGCGCTCAAAAAAGCGTTTTAGCGTTCAAAAAACTCTATAATTTCCATAATTGCAAGTTACTCCTTTCTCATTTGTGAGTTATTATCATTACTCATTTATTATCAAAGTAAATAGTCGTTGAAGTTGAAATAGTTGAAGAAGTTTGAAAAAATTCAATCTGAACTTATAAATGAACTTATAATTTGAATGAACAGTTTGGAGATCATTTGGCTTTTGCATCGCTTTGCATTTGTTTGCAAGTTCTATTTAATTTTCAGCTAATTGTGTTTATTTCTTTGCTGAGATTTCGAGTAAACAAAGCACACGTTAATAAAACAGTAACGATAGGAAATCTTGAAACTGAAGAGTTTATATTCTTGACAATAACTCTAGTTCAAGTCATTTCACTTATTCGTCTCATTCTCATCATTTTCCAAGAAATATTTAACGATAAAATTGCGCCTGTGTGAAAAACTGAGAAAAGGAACCGTTCTTAAGCCGCCATTACACGACAAAATGTGCCAAATCTTCTCACGTTCATCAACGAGAAAAAGAATATTGTAGTGGAGCAGACTTTTCTCCGAAACATTCTCATTATCAATAGACAAAAAAAACCTATTTTCTTCTTAATGTCGCCAAATCTCAAGCCAATCCTTTCAACTCTAGCCGAATTCTATGAGTTTTACATTGTTTTACTCATCACTGTCATCTTGGAAGGTTTGAGGACAAAACTTTGACTGTAGAAGGGAATTTTAATTTAAGGCATCTATGTTTCTCTCGGAGTTCTCTATAATCAATCAATTATGTATGTGTCACCATTTGGTATTGACATATCTTTAAGTTGGCGTGATTTTCTGATGATTTCCTTTCAGATTGGATCTTATGTGGTACGTTGATTTAAAAGAAGATTGTGAGACATTTGAGATGGGCCCCGCCTCTTTGCTATTGGCAATCCAACTTTGAGTTCAAATATCTCGGTGTTGGGCTGTCCAATCTCAATAGCTTTTTTGTACCAATCGACAGAGAAAGACTTGGCGCATCTAATGATATCAAGAACAGTTAAATTGAACAGCCCAAAGCCAAGATATTTAAGCTCAAAGTTGGATTGTCAATGGCAAAAGGGGCGGGGCGTTCCTTTTATACGCGCACCGCCCCTTCTTCATTGACAATCCAACTTTGAGCTCAAATATCTTGATTTTGTATCACATATATCTAGTATCACAAGTAGTGCATAAGTACCAGTTTAGTATAAGTAGTAATGCAGAGGGGGCGTGGGGCGTATAAAAGAAACGCCCCGCCCCCTTTGCCATTGGCAATCTAACTTTGGACTCAAATATCTTGGTGTTGAGCTGTTCAATTTCAATAGTTTTTGTACGAATCGACAGAGAAAGACTTGGCGCATCTAATGATACCAAGAATATTTATATTCAACAGTCCAACACCGAGATATTTGAGCTCAAAGTTAGATTGCGAATGGCAAAAGGGGGCGGGGCGCGTATCAAATGTCCAAAAACCTTAAAAGAATGTTGTATTTCAAAATTAAGTATGTTTTCTACAGGTTTTATTCGCTGGCTTCATTGTGTCACCAGTTGCTATCTATTTTGTGGTGAAAAACGATCGATTGTCGATTCCGATTCGGTATTTTTGCACATATTCAAAGTTCAAGTTTAGCAAGCATTTTCCAAACGCTTTTATTTTTAATCAAATCGATCAATTAGAAATGTTCTTCTTGTTTTCGTTTTGCTTAGAAAAGGGTTTCTGTTTTGTTTCTTTACCGAGATTTCCCACGTTGATAAGCTTTTCTCTAGAAGTTAATGTTAGCCATGTGGATACCGTAATACCTGTAATAGTTGCGTCTCCATAATGACGTACAGTCGCGTAGTTGCTAAAGTAAATCATTTTTTTTTGAATGCGCACAGATTTTTCTAAAATAAACTGTTAGTACCAAAAACTTTTCGCTTCAAGCGCTATCTTTTGATATCTAAGCACGCATTTTTTGTCGAAGCAGCGCGAAGAATCGAGCGTCACTAAATTGTGAGTTAGACTACGCGACTGTACGGCGGGGGCGCTACTATTACAGGTATTTCGGTAAGCTATTGTGTGATTTACAATACCACTCAAAATTATATCCTCGAAAAAGTGGCGCTGCTTTGAGGGGTCGTAACTCTACATATAGACATCGTATTTATAAGTACTTTATATCACCTGAAAGCTCTTATTGAGCTCTACAAGATTTGCTACAACACTTTGAAGAATACAGCAGTTTTATTTGACTTTTAGGGATTTGAATCAAAGCAAAAACTTTGGGTGATTTTCATGATGTATGATTGCTTTGATTCAAACCCCTAAAAATTGGTTAAAACTATCGTATTCCTGAAATTGTTGTAGAAAATCTTGTAGAGCTCAATGAGAGCTTTCAGATGATATAAAGTACTTATAAATACGATGTCTATATGTAAGAGTTACGACCCTCAAAGCAGCGCCACTTTTTCGAGGGGATCTATTTTGACCGAGACGTCAAAAAGTTAAAAGTTAAGTTTGCTTTTTCATATCTAATAACAGAGCTTTTAATAATAGTTAAAAGCAAATGAAAGAAAAAAAGGAAAAAAACAGCTGATTGCAAAGTTTCTTCCATAATTTTGCCGCCCGCTGTACTCCACCACTCTCTGCACACACAAGCAAACTGCCAAGCGGTATTAGGGCTCCACTAAAACTTCAAATGAATCTAAAAACACCAAATGATTAACCCCAATCCAGTAAGCCAAGTCCAAAATGGTCTGGTATAGTCACTTTTGTTATGAATGATGTCATAAATGATTCAGAGTACTGTCGACCACGGAACTCCTCCTCAAAATCCTCTATGGACTGCTGTATGTGCTGTCCAATTACTGCCTACTACTCAGTCAACTCTCACCAACTTTCACTTGCCCTAAAAACTATCCCGATATCACATACAATTCGAATTTCTATAGCTACCTCGATATTTTATATGACACATCTCAATACTGCCAGTTGATGATCTCAATCAGTCGCTTCTTTGCCGTTTCATTCAATGGACTCTATTATCGATATGCTTTGAAATGGCCACTAGTACAAGTTTTGTTTCCAATCTTGTTACGAGTTGGACTAGAATTTATTGATTCACGAATATATTGGGATATTCAAGATTATTTTCATGACTACGTGATGCCAGTGCCTATATTTTTAATGTGCTCTCTAGACTTTATGACAAATCGAAAACTGAAAAGTGTGAGTTGAGTTATGGTTCCAATATGGTTCCAATATGCTTCCAATATGCTTCCAATATGGCTCCAATATGGCTCCAATATGGTTCCAATATGGTTCCAATATGGTTCCAATATGTTTCTACCAGGAATCTGGTTCCAATA